AATGTCTAAAATCCGTTCGAGCATGTAATGTATGCAAAAAAAGGCTAATCCTTAGTTGACAAGTAAAAAACTTTTGAGTCAACTTATGATTACGACAGACCATAAGCAAATTATTGTTACAACGTATCTTTTAAACAAAATTTGTAAAAAAAATGTAGTTAAGATGTGGCAATATTATATTCGCAGTTTGGCTACTACTTGTAAATTCGAAATTCTACCCTTAACCTTCTAAAAGCATTTACTTCTACTAAAACCTGATATTCTTCAGTGGATTACTAAGTTTATTATTCTATTAAGATATTATTATTCTTATAGGTTCTCATGCAATCCAGCACATCCCCTATTTTTATACTTTTTCTTATTTTTCCTATTTCTTTTTTATTCAATTTTGACCCTATCTATAGCGTTTTTTTTGCCCTTAAGTTATTGTTTAAGGGTTACCTCGACTTCGATGCCCATCCCTAACCTCGTTAAGGTCCCTGCATTAGTATCTTTCGTTTTTATTTAATATCTGACGTCATTGTGTTCTCTGAATTTTGCTGTAATACTCGCCAAATAGACTGCTAATAATTTTGTTTTCAAAAATTTGATTTTTGTTAATTCTGTTATTAATTTTGAGTCTAATAAATTTCTGAAATCTCAGAAAATTTTGAATTCTTCAGAATGAAAAACTAAATGGTCGGCATTTTCAATTTCTTTGGCGCATTTAGATTCTTCACTTTTTTCAACTTTGTCCGAATAACTATATATTATATTACATTTAAGTCTATTTATGACTTATGAGTTTGTCTACCTTATTGGATAGATCCCATTTCATTTGCCATTTATTTATAAATTCTTGTGTTTTTTGTTCTTTTTGAATTTGTGATTACATTCTGTAAACTGTAGCGGAATGTCCAAAATCGAGTTGTTTTTTAGATATTATATACTGCTTAATATACATATATCTTTCAACGCTTTAAAATTTAGAGATAATCGCTCCTGAATAGTTATTCCTAAGAACATAATTTTGTTTGCCATTTTAGTTGGTTGATCCATACGTCCGTCCGTCCATCCGGGCCCACTGTTACGGTTTTGCACTATTTGAATGAGAATTGTCTTAGAGACCTGAAATTTGTTGCAATAGCCGGCCTATACATTGAAGGCGTGCCTTTCAATTTTGTTATCTCCATAAAACACTTTTGAAAATTGGGGAGGGGGGGGATCGAAAGTAATTGGTTTCTACAAACTATAAGTGTCCTCTGCGATTCCTTTTCGAGATCAGTGGGTAACGTGGAAGGGGAAGGGGTAGAAATTGGTTTCATCTTTTATGGTACTCTAATTAAAGGGCTCAACGAAGGGAACAGTTTTCTGTCAACTACCGTCCTTCTCTCTTACCCCTTAGTAAAATATGAGGTGAAAAGGAATTAACTTATACGCTTTCCTCCACGACCTATTATCAGGATCGGTTATAATTCTTTACCTTTTTGTAATTGGAGGAGGGGGGCTAAAAACTGATATTTTAATTTTAATCAAAAGTATCAACGAAAGGAACTGTTTACTACACTGCCCTTGTCTCCAGCCCCTTTTCAAAATGAAGAGAAGGGGACTGGTTTTATCCTTCATGGTATTCTAATGAAAGGTCTCAACGAAAGGAAATAATTTCTACCTACCACAGTCCTTAACCCCTTATCGTATTGGGGTATAATCCCTCATATCTCCAGAGCGGAGTGTAGGAGGAAGGTACGTACTTGCAAATGACGAGTGGAACTGGAACGGGATTCTGGATTACGATAGAAGTGTGGACGGGGCTCTAAGCCTCAAATTGCGACCTTTTATACTACCCCCCTGGCTCGAGTCGTTCGACTACTCAACGTAACTCAAGCCATCGCAAACGCGCCAGGCTATGGAATGGTCCTTTGAAGGCTTTTCCCGCATGGAGGCAATCTAACATCATGTTCTACCTAGCCCTCTGCTAGGATGGGTGTCTTGAGTTATTAAATTGTTTTCAATTGCAAATGTAAGTGGAAGAGCCTTCTCTGGACCATAAAATTCTTGTTTTGAGACCAGTCAGACTAACTCGTCGGCATTCTCAATGCCCTTTGATCCATGCGAGCTCAAGGGTGTTGCTAATTGCTACTTGCAAGTATGTTATGCATAAGCAAGTTACTTTTCTTGCACTAAGGGCCATTTCCATCGTCAAAATTCAGTACAATGCCAGACTGATATCAATCGCAGTCTGGCTTCGGGAAGTTACGAACGTGGGTTCGCTAATCTCCAGATTAGTAGGTACTTGTCAGAAAACGGTTCCTTTTGTGTCCCCAACATCCTTGATTTAGTAACGCAGGTTTCTTGAACAAGGGCAATGGAGCAGGGCAGGGAGGTTTATTAATATTTCAACGTGTTGATGATACCCAAAATTGATAGGTAAGGAACCTCAAATTGACTGGGCGATGCTTTTGCTTTTCAAATGCGAGCTTGTTGTTCTTTGAATCTGCTTTTCAAAGTAAACCCAATACGTTAGAGATCAAAATGTTGACTACAGATTTTATCTTATTGCGAAAAAACTGCAAAAAACGCGAAGGAAGGAGAAAAGAGATATTTTGATAGTGAATTTTCCTAGCAATTTTGTAAGTGAAACTGTAAAAAAAGCTCGTTGGGTTCTAATCATTGAATTGTTATGTTCTTAGCTAGAAAGACTCACTGTCGACCTATCGTATTACCGTCAATTGCGTTCGTAAATCTCTTCAAAGAGTAAGTACCTATTTGTTAATATTGAAATGTGATTTTTGTAGCAATAGAATACTCTTTGTTGTTGTTAATTTCCTTTATTTGTTGGACAATTGTAACAAATTGTTTCTGCCAAAATGGAGCAAAGTGCTAAACTTGGTTTGGATGATTTTTGGTAATTTCTAAAGGATAATTAGGACTATTCGTAAATAATTTAAGTTCACAGTAGGTTTCGGTAAATAATTCTCAGCTGCGGTTTTACATAAAGTGAACGTGTTATGTTAATCGCTCTGTAACGAATTAAATTATAGCAAAATTTGCTATCCCCACTCCGCCATCAAGAATATAACTGCTTATAGAAAACTCAACACCAGTAGACGATGACCACAGACGGAGATATCCATAAACTATATGGCAAACTGCCAAAATGCTAACATAAATGGGGAATAGCCAATTAGAATATTAGTAACGCTACCAGAAAATGATTACTACCATACTCTGTCATCAGGAAAAGAAAAATCGCTAATTATAATCGCCTCACGCTCTATGGCGAAACCAATCGCGTGGAAAATTAAAATTCTTTTCACCATAATTAATACCTTAACATAATTTCGGAAAGAGACATGTTTCTCTCCACACGCCGCATATTTTCACGTCAAAGAAGAAATCTTAGAAAACGCCCAAGCTGTTGTACGCTCGTCTGTAATTAATTTAATGGAAGAGAAATCACTTAATCTCTGTAAATATTTGCAATAATAAAGTTAAGTGAAAAAGATAAAGAAAATTGTTTAATGTGATGAATTTAGTTAAATCATAAACGCGTGTAATAAAAGCGAAAACATTCTAGAATTAATATACATTTTATGTTTATGAGATTCTGCTTCAATTATACATGTTTTTTGTATTACACTTTAACGTAGGATGTTAATTGAGTTTTGACAGTAACGTTAACGGAAGGCTAGTCGAATTTAACGCCGTTTTTAGGATATTTAAATTTTTAATTATTTACCCAAGCGTTTTCGTTTCTTCAGTTAAAATTGTATCAAATGCATAATATTAAAAATGCCTATCCTTAAAGTTTTACGCGCATATTCCAAATTAACATATTTCTTTGCAAGACTACAGTTTTACTGTTTCTCCTGAATGAATTAAGGGTAAATGAGAGATAAAAAGGTTCAGTAAAAAATGGAATATACACAGCTTATGTAGGTTCATTCAAATTCTTGCAGCATATTTTGTTTTGGTACCTTTTTTGTACAAATATCGGGTATTCTCTAGTATTTTCTGGTTTATTTTGGTACTTTACAATCCTACTTTCAGTTTTTAGGGCGACTTGAAAGAGTGAAAGAATACCAATTAATGTCAGAAGACACAAATTTGGTTTACTCATCACCGACAATGGGTACATCTCATGGTAAGCCCAAGCGTTCCGTTCAACCCCATACACCCTATAGCTATATACGTTGCACAAAACTATCACCCATTCCGCGGGCAGGTCGTTCTCCTTGATCTTTATGTAATGAATAAACTTATAGGAACAATAAACATTTCTTTCCCTTTTTATCACCGAGTCATTCTTACATAAGGATTAGATGCAAATAGTTCCGATACAAATAATTGTCGGCATGATTCATAAAGTGTAACAGCAAATTGAGCGTAACGGTAAAACCTCAAAATGTGAAAGTGAAAATTTGCTCTTATAATACGATCGTATTACTGAATTAATTATAAACTCACGGTATGTAGAGCAAATATTTAGATTCTGATTACAAGCTTTACGGAATTTTGATGGGTTCCTTATAAATTACGTATAAAATTCAATGTTTTTACACATATCGTTACGTTCTGCAAACCTGTCGATATTGCATGCCCACCTGTCCAGGTGAATGAAACATAATTTAATGAAGTACATACATATCTGTATTTGGAGTTCTTATTTTGTAAGCCGGCCATTGTTGAGCGTTTACGCAAATTTAATTTGTAATGCGCTTTTGTTTAAAAGGTGTAGGTAATTTGGCTTGTGTGTTTACTACCAGAATACAATGCTTAATTGTTGCGTAACAGCTTAAATTCCCAGCTTAAAAGAAATGAGTGTGTTGCCGATAAATGAATGCGCAATTAAAATGCAATCTTTTCAAAAAGTGAAATTTTTATTAAGAGAACCGGGAAATATCATAACTTCCCCAAAAGTGCAACTTTCATATGACATCAACTAGGCCAGAGTTCAATTCCTACGAAAATATCTCACCGATTTGCATGCGAATTTCGCACTAACATCGCTTTTTAGTTTCAGATCAGTCCACGTCGGCGTCATGGTGGCAGCAGGACACGGTGAATACGGCGGAAATTGCGGACAATGCAGATTTTTTTTCGTCGATGCACGGTCTGGTACAGACCCATCCTAGTCTGGCGCTAAAGGATAACGTAAATAATGTCCGATTTAATCCGACAAGATCGCAGTTGCCAAAAGCGAGCGGATCGAAGCATTTAGATTATAGGACGTCCGCCACCGCAGAATTGAGAAGAAACCCTAATTTGTCTGCACCGGATGAGTGCGCCAGAGCTTGTCGAGAAGGAGAACCGCCGAGGATATGTTACTACCATTTCACTTTGGAGTACTATACTGTTTTGGGAGCGTAAGTATACTATAACTTCTTCGCCAAGTCTTTGAGTGCAGTTAGCAATTCATAACTACTGAAGGACTGTCCAGAACTTTAGTCAAGACAATAGCAAGTGTGTATCTCCGTACCTAACGCAAACATCGATCCTAATTTCTTATTGGTACCAAGTAATCGTATTAGAAAAACTACCGAATTTAACGTAACCGAATCTTTTCTGACAGCATATTCCCAAAACTCAAGAAACAAAGTCAAGGGTGGTTTTACCTATGCAATCGAAGTAAATTTGATGTTTCTGGGGTTCACTGTAATCTCGAACCTTCTCTGCAAGAAAAATGAAAAATTATCACTGCATCCTTGGGATATATTTAAACTCAACTCAACTCAAAACTCAGACGTGGTACCTACAGGTATAATAGGTATACTATTTTAGCACAAATTATTGATCTTCTTATTCCATACCTATTTTTTTATACAATTTTAATCTAGTTAATCAAGTTCTCCTTTGTATTCAAAATCAGTTCACTTATGTCATAATGAGAACTCTACAGATTCTGCCGTCTTTTTTTGACACATTTCCCATCAATTATATACAATATCCATTTTTTTAGCATCTATTACCACTTAAAAAATTCAAAAAAAACTCCACGATTCCGGAGAACTTATTTAGCTTTATTATACTGGGTAGTTAGCCAAGCATGTAAGGGTCTTTTTCAATAACCTTTAACTTTAGGTATACCGCACTACCAAATCTTTATTTAGAACGGTATCAAAGCATATTATTTTTTTTACTATTAAGACATTGTTGTGTATACTAATTAATAGAAAAAAAGTAAACACAAATTTCAGTTTGTGATTTTTTTTTATTTTTAAAATTCCATTTTAACATTACCGTCACGGTCAACTTTTTGAACTTCTTAACTTTCGCTTTAAATTTTCATTATATATTACCCTAATTGCAAAAAGTAAATATTGTTTTATATTCTGGTAACGTTTGTTTTACTCAGTTCATATTTTAAAACACCAGGTAATAATAATTTGTTTATTTTTTAAAATAATATTAAATAAACCCATTAATGCTAACATTACCGTCACTCCAAGCTTAGCTGCCCATTTCTACCGACAGATCGCGCACGTGTCGCTCTTGCTTAGTTCCACAGCTCGCTTAGCTTATTGAGTCAATGCTGGATGTCAAGAGTGCAAAAAGTTTTCTTGTTTCTCATGCTGGTTTTGTATTAAAGGTATGTTTTGTGTAAAATATTTTTTCTCTCAACATTACCGTCCCATAAGACCATTTAGTTATAATGATACCTATCATAATACTTTTATTTTATTAATAATACCAACCCCGCCAACAACGAAATTTCCCTAACCTTAAACTTTACTGCCATTTTCAAAAACATCTAGGGGCTATTTACTTGTAATTAAACATTTCCGTCACGAACATTACCGTCACGTTTACAGAAAGGGTAAAATGTGACGGTAATGTTATGGGCGGGACGGTAATGTTAGAACGGAGTATAGATGGTATCATGTTGTTTATGGTATCGTATATTATATATAGGTGAGAGTCTTCTTAGTTTCATGATGGATTCAAGTACGTCACTTTCCCTATGTATTCCGAGTACTTCAAATCAAGAAGTGACAGTCGTTTTAAAAACCCCAGACAGAACCAAACCAAAAAATGAACGGCTGATTTTACTTCAAAATAAATTAAGGATTATGAGAGAGCAGGCAGCAAAACGCCGGGATGAAAACAAAGCGTTAAAAACTAAACTAAAAAAGGCGAGAAAAAAGGAGACTAAAGCTGAGATTGAACAAAAACAGCAACCTGTATCCGATAAAAATGGTCCTTTGCAATCAAAATGGCTAGCGAATGATAACATTAAGGTTCCTGTGGAGACAAAAAAAAGTTCAAAGAGTTCCGCTTCAATCAACTAAAAAGAAAAAGAAAATCACTAAAAAAATGTCGACCGTGGACTCCGACAGACAAAGAGAGATGGCAAGAGAAAGAAAAAGAAGACAAAGACAAAGGATTAAAGCGGATGGGATGATGTATCAAAGGGAAAAAGAGAAAGAACGTGAACGGTACCAGAAAAGAAAATTGGAGGGAAAGCTTAAACCGATTTCTGAGCGATCAAAAAGGGAACAAAGAAAACAGAGAAAGATGTGGAGAAAAAATAATCATACTTACCAAGCAAAAAAGAAATTAAATAAAAACAATACTGAAGGACTCGGCGACGCACAACCATCTGTTAGTATCAAAATTAAATTAGGCAGAAAAAAAGTGTTGAGTACACGTTCAAAAACTTCAAATTTGCTTTTAAAAGAAAGACATTTGCGGAAGCGGCAAGAAAAGATGACTGTAAAATGGAAAAACAAATATTTTTACTTAAAAAATAAAGTCAAAAATAATGAGCCACCAACTCCAAAAAAAGCAGTAGAAGAGGTTATTAAGAGAGGAGATACAAGAGAAATTAACTACTACTCATTGGCGAAGTTTTAACTAAGCAAATCGAGTTGAATAAAAATACGTGCACCACTTTACAACAAAAAGAAGTTTTGTCTTCATGCGTTTCTGGAGGATTAATAAAAAAATATAAGCTGATGAATGCTATGAAAAACTTGGCCTCTACGTACAACCAACGAAAATTTTTAACCAACGATAAGAAAATAAATTACAACAAGAGAAAAAGAAAATCGCTCACAGTACTGCTAAAGTGTCAGGTACAAAGTTTCCTCTGCAGTGATCCCAATTCCATTGTTACTCCAGGAAAAAATGACACTCTGACCAAGAATAGTATTACCAAACAAAAGAGATTACTCACTGATACTCTTTATAACCTTTACAGGAAGTTTAAAAATGAAAATAATGTCAAAGTTTCTTATACTACATTCACAAGACTTAAACCATTTTGGGTCGTTACTCCGAAATTAACACAGAGAGATACGTGCCTTTGTGTAAAACATTCAAACTTTAATTTCCTTATTCGGACATTAAGACAGTATTTAGTTATCAATATCAATTCTCTCCTAAACCTCTCTGAATTTATTTGCTGTGATAGTATATCTAAGAGTTGTATGTACAGAATGTGCCAGATTTGTAAAGTAAAGACCGTTGAAATCAGTTTTCAGAGAGTTGAACCCACCACTGTATTACACTATTATCAATGGCGTACCACACAAGAGAGCAGAGTCATCAAGGATAAATTGAAAATTGTAAAAGTGACGAAGAAATTAAGGCTAAATGCCACTGCTGAAGAATTGATCAATGTTTTTAATAACGAAACTCCAAAAATTTTACAACATTCTTACCGCATTTATCACCAGGGTCTCTTTTTGAAAAGAGTAAAAACTGAAATGGCAGAAGATGAAATTTGCTTAATAATAGACTTCTCGGAAAACTACAATTTTAAATACACTGATGAAGTTCAAAGTGTCCATTTCGGAGCTTCAAAGGTCCAATTAAGTCTTCATACTGGGGCCTACTATTATAAAGAAAACGGGGTAACCAAATGCCAAACGTTTTGTAGCACTTCTTCTTGTCTTCGACATGATCCTTGTGCTATATGGGCGCATATTTTGCCAATTTTTTCGAAAATTACAACTGAACACACACGTGCGAAAGTAATCCACGTTATGAGTGACGGACCCACAACCCAATACCGTAACAAAAATAATTTTTATTTGTTTGCACATTTTTGTGAAAAGTTGGAGCTCAAAAATGCATCCTGGAATTTTTTTGAGTGTGGTCACGGAAAAAGTGTTGCAGATGGAGTTGGGGGGCTTGTCAAACGAACTGCTGACCAGAGTGTCGCTCAGGGAACTGATTGATGTATCGTGTATTGAGCAGTTTCTAGAAATAATGAAAGAAAAACTTGAAAGGACAAGCATCTTTCAAATTTCTGGAGCGGAAATATTAGAAGTCGAGGAATTACTACAGGATAAGAAAATACAACCATTGCCTAACACCATGAAGTTGCATCAAGTTTCCTGGATCAGTTCGAACAGTGATACCTTGTATTTGCGAGAACTGTCGTGTTTTCAGTGTAGGAATTCCATTTCCTGTCCGCATAATGCTATTACACCGAGTCAGTATCAACTGAAATCTGGCATGTCCAAAAAATGTATCCTTTTAAAAACGTTTTTTAGTTTGAGTTATTTGATAAAAGTAGGTAGGTACTTTTATTCTCTGAACATTTTCTTAACAAATAACAGGTAATCGTAGCAACCCCGACCTAGATAAAATAGAGATAGGCACCGCAATTTCTGTATCTAAGGGTAATACGACACGGGAAGAAAATACGGAAGTAAATGAAATCAGTGGGAAATATAAGAAAGACGATTGGGTGGCCGTCGTTTTTGATGATCAGTGGTATCCAGGACAGGTGTTATATGCTGACGGTAATAGTCTAGAAATAAAATTCATGACTAGATCCAAAAGGAATTTTATGTGGCCACAAAAAGCAGACGTCCAGAAGATTCCACAAGATGGAGTACTTTGCCCTCTGAAAGTTCCTACCAAATTGTCTTCACGTGTTTTTAAGTTTGAAAACTCTGATTCATTGAACTCTCTAATGGAGTCCCTTGACTAGTTTTACAGTGTTCTAATGCCTTTTATAATGTTTGAGTTTGGTTTTCTTTTTAATAAATACCATGTTTACTTTTTGGTAATTTTGTTACATTACCGTCCCTTCATAAACATTTCCGTCACACTACCTTTTTTCCATAGTAAAAAAATTTGTATAGAAAATTAAAGCTATTTTACAGTTGTAAATTATTTAAAGATGCTTTTTTTATAATGTAAAGTACAATTTTGTAACGATATTTGCTTATTTTCAAGAATAACATGTATTCGTTGCATGTTCTTTTTAATATTTTCATTAAATTCGTATTGACTTCGATATTTCTTGTTCGAATATGATTTCTGTAGGAAGTAGTTTTTAAAAATAAAAGCATATAGGCAGCTTTACCCATCAACAATTTGTAATCGATAATAATTTGATTATTGTTGGCGTTAATATATTTCGAAACTTCGTGACGGTAATGTTAAAATTCTAGACTCATGAACGAAAACCACTGCATAAAAAGTACAAATGTTAACATTTTTGATTTTCAGGGTGCAACTAAAATTCCAAACACTTAACAAATCTCTAAAAAAATTATACGAACAGTATCTGTGAATTCTTTTTTTTTGGAAATGGTACCCAGCAATTATTAAAGGTTATTGAAAACCACCCGTAAATCCATAATTCAAAGGTCGCTTTAAATGTTTTAATACTGAAACCCTTTCTTCTAAATTATAAAGAAATACCTCGAGAAATACAGTTTCGCCCAAATAAACAATATCTTGTAACTGTTTAATTTGTTTGAAAAATAAACATTTTTTGAACTTTATTTATTTATTTAAGGGTTGTCTAAGTTCTGAGTGTAAAGCTCCGAGTTTCGCTCAAAAACGCGTTCATGGTGTCCTGGGACGCCCCGAGTTTCCTTTTAAGGGGAAATAATGCTCCGCCAGAAACACTTTCTCCTCCGTGCTCAACACCAATTTTAACAATTGGGCCCTGCTATTAAGTTCTTTAAGGTTTGCTCGACACTTATACAGTGATATTATTATGCGGGTCACTCTGTAATTGGGCGCAAACCTGTTGAGGGCCCAGAACAAGAAAGGGATAAAAAATAAAAAATATTCATGAAGAAGTAGACATAGGGATTTAAATGTATTGCTTTTCTCTATGTCTACTTTTAAAACACAAAATCTTTTCTGAAGGGCGCCTAATATTATGCATCCAAAATAACTTTTTAAAAGAAATAAACATCTGGCTGTCATCGCCGTACATACATCGCACACGAACGAAAATACGGAAGTCAAAGCAATAATATTCAAATTATTTAATATCACTGCCAGATCTTCATTTGTTGTAGGAAATTATTTTGGTGCCCTAAAATTAGGCGTCCTTCAGAACTCATTTAAAAGTTGTGAATTTCACTGCCATACAAGCTAACGTGAATATGGGGGCGCGCGCATAGACACCTAAAAATTTATTTTCAGTACTGTTTATTTTGGGCAAATCTGGATTATAAACCCTCTATATATTAAAGAATTACGACAGAGACAGGCCAAAGGTCTAGGGAAGTGGATTCTTAAATTGTCACCTACTATGGGAAGTGTCTCTAAATATTCGCACAGTAATTTCGTAAGCAACCAAATCAAACGATTTTACTGCACTACCCTGTCTTCCATTGAATTTTGTTGGCGGGGTACGAGTAATATGTACAGATTTTCAATATCGTATGCAAAAATCAAAATATCCGATGCGGTTCCTGAAAATCTCAGTTAGTGACAAAAATCGATTAAACAATTAGCATGTTTAGATTCAGAACAATTAAAATTTTGTTTATCCTCCATGGTTACCAAGATATTGTTTTGGGAATTCGTTCCCTGGACGTTTTCCTTTGCTCTTAAATTGTCCAGGAATTAATTATCCCGTGCCAATTGTCCACATAGGCACCATCGCTTTCCAAAAAACACAATGAAAACCATTTGCTTGTTTCGAAAGAAAAACAATTCCCGTTATGTGATGGTTTTGTCCGTCTGTTCCTCGTCTAACTTGAGAACGAAATAGACAGCGATGTCAAACCTTCGCCAATCGATAACTACGAGCTCAAGGATCAGTGCTATTGAATATGAGCCGGATTAAAAGTCTGGTTTCCGAATGCGATCTGAGTGGCAAAAAATTATTTTTGATTGTTAGACTTTTTAATAGACGCCCTTTCATTTAATTAAAGCGATATAATTATTTTGAAGTCAACATCGACATATTTTCAACCTTCTAAATTGCCTTTCATATTTAGGAATTGCCGAAAATGTATTTTCCTATGTTATTTCCCTATGTTCCGCCGTCAACTTGCCACGCTGTATAAGAATTACTATGTGCTTGGGATGAAAATACGCTCTTGTGACACGTGTGTGGTGGACTGTAGTAGAACTAGTGTTACTATGGTGCTAAGTAGCGTGTGTGAATAACTAATAATGCTTTTTTAAATAATATACCACCAAAAAAGCTCCTTTATGACCCGTTTACGTGCCTTTTCTTTACTTGTTATCCATTTGATGTACACTTTATTCGACCGTAAAAAAATCATTACTTTTTTGATTATCCAAAAGCTGCTGTGGCCCAAAAGGTACTCGTACAAGTTGGTACGAGTGGAAGACGTAATGGAATGTCACTTTTTATTAAACTCCCAAATTACACGGCTCTCTTCACACCTTCGCCCATTGATTTATTACGTTTTGACAGTCAAAGCTATGACTATTCCACCAAAAAAGATCCTATGGTAGTTGTAGAGAAAGGGAAATTGAGTCTTTCTTTCCTAGGCAGGTTCCATTGAACAATGTTCTATACCGGGGCAGGAAGATTCAGTGCCCCTTTCCCTACAACCATCGTATAGGATCTTTATTTTCAATAGGTTTAATAGGTGGGGGAGGGGGTATTCCAGACCCCTCGGAATATGTATTCATTGTAAGCAGTCAGTATAGTACCATGTCTAAACGTTTTTGGGAAAGGTAAAAAAAAAGATCCTATGATACTAGTAAGGAAAGAGACATTGAATTACCTCCTGTCTCCGTATAGAATACTCCCCAGGAAAGAAAGATTCAATGCCCCTTTCCCTGCAACTATCACATGTAATCTTCACCCCCCAGACCCACCGGAATATGTATTTATTGTAGACCTTTAAGCAGTTAAATGTTAAATAACGTTTTTGAGAAAGAAGTTAGCACCACTGAGAGGAATACTCCCCAGGAAAAGAAGAAGATCCTATGGTAGTTTTCTTTCTTTCCTACCCCCGAAATATGTATTTAACGGTGCGCGGACAATTCGCACCCGGACAATTCGCGCCCAGACAATTCGACCCGGACAATTCGCACCCTGACAATTTACTCCCCGGGCAATTCGCTCCCAAGACAATTCGCGCCCGGATAAGTTAATCCCGGACAATTTGCTCCCAGGACAATCCGACTCCCGTAGAATTCTTGAATAGAATGTTAGTTGGTTTTTATAATAATTTTTAAAGCTTATTGCCAAACGAGTGATTGGTGTTGAATGTTTTAAATATTATGCAAATTCGCTCAGAAGTTCCTGCAGGAGTATTGTATGCATTAATTTTCGGTATTTCCTTGTCATATTTCGAACTGTCTGACAAGAATCTTCTGTGCACGTGTCGATGATTACAAGCGCTCATGGTCGGGGCCGAATAACCGGCAAGCTGACAACCTGCTTTCTTTATGTGTGTGGGTACCATAATTTGGTAAAAAAATTAATTTAAATTATCAATATTTGATAAACCAAATTATCCTGAGAGCGATTTGTCCTGGGAGCGAATTATCGTGGGAGCGAATTGTCTGAAAGAACAGGTCTCAAAACCTAAATGAAGCCGCCAGTTTAATCGTTTCTCCTGTTATGGCTCCTGAGAAAAACCTTAAGGAAGAAAAGTAAACTTTTGAACCATCATCGTGACCCCTCGATTTATTTCGGAAAAATGTGCTCCCGCTGCAATAATTTTTTTGTTATATCTACCCTGTTTAACTAATGTTAATTCTACTGGTGTCATTATGCGTTAATATTAACTGGGGAGTATGAATTACTCATAAATACCGTTACCTTTATGAGCTAAGCTAAAGCTGTCGATTTTTACACTTTAGGTTTTAGTTGGGTGTTAGGGACCTAAACATGAGTAAAACCAAATCTGTGTTTGAAATACTAGCTCATAGCAATAATTGCATTAGTTATAAATTATGTTTGCGATTACGATGCTTTTCTTAAAAACGTTTAATTTTTTCCTGTTTCTATTGAAGCAGAGTATTTCATTCCGGCCTTTCTGCGTGAGTTCCTGTGATCATAGCCTACTTCTTCAGTAGCTTTTAAGACAATTATCAAACCATCACCATATTGATCGCTTTTTTGCAAGAAAGTCCGTCTTAAACACCAAAATTACAAAACATCAAACGAAATCGTAATTATTTTCAGTCGTCACTTTACTCATATAGCACACGCACTTCGCTGCTGTGCTCTAATTGTTAATGTAATTTAATACAGATGTAACATTTTTAATTTATAGGAACTATATAGGTAGGTAAACAAATGTATTAATATTATTATTTACATAATTTATATATCTTAGAAAGGTGTACGCTTCATGTACGCACGCACCGTATATTTTGCGCCAACCGTATCCGGATCAATCTTGGAACTGTTTGAAATTATGGAATCTACAGGCCACATTCTATAAGAAAAATTTTTTTCCGGGTCGATCTAAGACCATTTTTTCTTCGGGCCTCAAAAAAGGCCTTCCTTTTTTACCAAAAATCGACTGCATCAAAATTTCTCGGGAAAACACTTTTTCTTATTAATTTTGGTGCGTAGAATCCAAAACAATTCGTACTTTTTCGATCAGACTTCTCAATCAAAAGTTATAGACTAGAAACCAATTTCGAAAGAAAATTCAAAGGGCTGTAACTTTTGAACTAGTAGCCCAATCTTGGAACTGTTTGAAATTATGGATTCTACAGGCCACATTCTATAAGAAAATTTTTTTCCGGGTCGATCTGAGACAATTTTTTTTCGGGGCTCAAAAAAAGGCACCTTCCTTTTTTACCAAAAATCGACTGCACCAAAATTTCTCGGGAAAACACTTTTTCTTATTAATTTTGGTGCGTAGAATCCAAAACAATTCGTACTTTTTCGATCAGACTTCTCAATCAAAAGTTATAGACTAGAAACCAATTTCAAAAGAAAATTCAAAGGGCTGTAACTTTTGAACTAGTAGCCCAATCTTGGAACTGTTTGAAAGAAAAGTCCAAGGATCAGTCGTAAATCTGAGCTTCGTATTTAATTACACTTCAGCAGTCAACTTGATCAAGAATCAATTCTGCAAAGATCCTGTATGTAAGTTGTCGTCCACAAAACTCGATTATTCGGGATTTCTTTTTCCAATGTTTCTTTAGTTCGATAATAAACATCTTCTTATCCTCTGATATCTGATGATAGCTGGGATAATCGATACGCAGATGATCTGAGCACCTTGGACCCAACCATTCTGAATGTCAGTTCAGATAAGTAAATAACACAAGACCTGGAGCGATCGAACCTCAGGTTCCTCCTTGATCGGATTTTACTGAATATTTCTTTTGAAAAATGGGTCTTGGCAAATATCCTTACTCCAAGTTATTTAAAAAAATATAAAAAGAGCATGACCTAACCCAGCGTGCAGTCGGAAGGTTGCTTGTCTAATCAAATCAAGCAACCGATAGACCTCCAGGATCTATTCAATCCCGAAAACTTTTGAATAAATTTCACTTTGGGTATTCTGTTTTAGTCTCAGATTTTTTTAGTAGGTACTATCCCATCCAATTTCCTGCTACAGGCAGTTCCTACTGCTTCTGACATGTCCCGCACGCAATTAAGTAGCCATGAAGGACTATAACTAAACATGTGACCTAGTTAAATCGAATACCTTCAGGTTTACACAGTCAATAACTCACTTTTCTAGTGTACATATCACGCTTGATACAAACAATAATCAATGGTACCTTTCTCGTCGGTAGCAGAACCATGCAAACGGTTTATTCTCTAAATATAAGCTTGTTATGCCTTTATTACTCAACAGGGCATTAAATTACTGTGGAAAAGGAGCTAGAAAGTGATAATTTAAATATGAGGCAGCAACCTGTACTTTTCAACCGTATCATTTATGTGCGGTATACAAAACTGTTTGCGTTACTTTCGGTTTAAGTAAATAGTCTTGTAAGAGAGATAGTTATATTTACGTTGTTGTCATTTAGAATTTAAAAAAATTATCCAACCTATTTTAAACAATACTGACAAGGTTCTTGTATATGAAGACCTTGCAATTCCTTTCAAGAGGACAACCACCTTCGTAGTTACTATTTCATAAGTTGCACAATTCTAGACTATTTATTTCTTTTGTTTCAACAGTGCCATTTACGGTCCTCATATTTGTTTCGTTTTTAATTTCAGCGCTTGCCAAGTGTGCACGCCGAACGCGACCAATACGGTATGGTCCACTTGCCAATGTATTCTAGCGGATGGTGTCGAACGAGGCGTCTTAGCGGCTAATCGTATGATCCCCGGTCCCAGTATACAAGTATGCGAGGGTGATAAGGTGGTCGTAGACGTAGAGAATCACATGGAGGGTATGGAAGTGACAATCCATTGGCACGGCGTGTGGCAGCGGGGCAGTCAATACTACGATGGTGTTCCATTCGTAACACAGTGCCCCATTCAGCAAGGGAACACGTTCAGATATCAATGGATCGCAGGAAACGCCGGCACTCACTTTTGGCACGCGCACACTGGTCTACAAAAAATCGACGGTCTCTATGGAAGCATCGTAATCCGGCAAGCTCCCTCCAAAGACCCCAACAGTCATTTATACGACTTTGATTTAACAACGCATGTTATGCTTCTGAGCGACTGGATGCACGAAGACGCCGCCGAACGGTTTCCCGGACGTCTCGCAGTGAACGTCGGACAAGACCCCGAAAGTATGCTTATCAACGGCAAGGGTCAATTTAGAGATCCCAACACCGGATTCATGACCAACACCCCATTGGAAGTATTCACGATAACACCTGGTCGAAGATATCGATTCAGAATGATTAACTCATTTGCATCAGTATGTCCTGCTCAATTAACAATTCAAGGACACGACTTAACGCTAATAGCAACCGACGGCGAGCCGGTACATCCTGTTCGAGTGAACACAATCATATCCTTCTCAGGTATGCCCTCCGTAACGCAGCTTGCCCACTTTCCTACGCTTATTTTTGCAGGTGAGCGGTACGATTTTGTCATCAACGCCGATCAACCTGAGGGCGCTTACTGGATTCAATTGAGAGGATTAGGCGAATGCGGTATCAGGAGGGCGCAACAACTAGCCATCTTGAGATATGCTAGAGGCCCTTACCAACCTGGCACTCCTGCGCCAACCTACGACTTTGGATTGCCCCAAGGAGTGGTAAGAACATTTTTCTCTATCATTGATTTTTGTACTATATATTGTAAATAGTTAAGTGTATATAACAGTAGGCGAAGGTTTTTTGTGAAATTCGAGGAAGGAAAGTTAGTGGTGACATGTTGAAATTGTGCCGGTTTCCTTTTGGCATGAAAATTTTTTTATAAAAGACAATATTAGGCAAAATTATCGTCCAAAAATAAACAAGGGGTTCCATCTTGTGGCAAGGCACTCTAGCATTGAATAATACCAGCAGAATGTGCCAAACCAAAGAAGTATATAACGTATGTATACTCTTTGGCCAAACTATAAAAAAAAATAGCTTTGCAATACTTAAACAATTTTGTGAGGGGACTGTTGATTTACTTCTTTAGATTTTTCTCATAGAACATAGCAGAAATTAAGCACTGACTACTGAGTACCAATTGGCGATGATGTCATGCAGAATAAGAGCTCATATGACCGTGGGTCTCCCCTTGGTCACAAAATAAAAGATAATTTCTTAGGCTGCTTTAAAATAATGTTGAGGATTTTTCATAAGCTCCTCTCAAGCTAACGCATAGCTATTCCTTAGATTTCATTTGAGAACATGAAGGTACCGGTCTAGGTACCGGTACACTCTTACTGTTGATCCGGTTTTTAATAAACAACATATAAATATAACTATCTTTTTGTCTATATTATGATTAATTGTGTAAGAACGGAGCATACATAAAAAAACGAAGAAGCTTCAGAATCTAAGGACTCCGAAAGAATCAAAGCAATGCAGAAAGTCGGAAAAATCGAAGAGAATTACGTTCAAAAATATAATTGAGAGAATTGGATGGACCTGATGTATTAAGTAGCATCCATCCTTTTTATTTGGTAGATCTTATCTCAGAAACCTGATTTATTTGAATGATTTGGTTTCGTTTAAAGGAGTCCAAAGAAACCAAGAAAGCATACCAATCCGAAGCAGCGAAAGATAATGAAGAAACTCGGAAACAGAGAAGCTTTAGGAAGTCGTCGATCCAAAGGAGTCGAGAAAGTTACCTTACCAAGCCAGGTTTCTTCTTGAGGATTAGTACTCCCGTAGCCTATTTCCACGATGATAGTTTATAACCGCTTTGAACGCTTGAACGTTCAATGCCTCCCGAGCTACCTTTGATATAATTTCCGACGGTAAACCATCCGGGTCGGAGGCTTGTCACTCTACTTATTTCTTCCGCCCTATCTGTCGTCTATCTGGTTCAGCATATACTCCATCTGCCTTCTTGCTCTCACCCTTTCTTGTAGAATGAAAAGCTAATTGACCTTTTTAGCGTAACACAGCGAAGTGCTTATATGCTCAATTTTTCCGTCGTCTGTCTGTCTGGCTGTCCCTTCGAGATCTCGGCCCCTGAGTCCCCTAGCGACCTAGCTGCTATGGTTACCCATCATTTACGGTTGTGTTACGCGGTAACACCCACGAGTGGGTTTTGAAACATTTTTTTTCCTTTTAAAGGTGTTCTTCCCTTTTTGCAATAAGGACCTCTTCCCTTCGTTTCAAGTAGAACTGGGTTCCGCTATTCTCGGAGATTTGGAGGAAGTCCCCTCCCCCGCCTAACGCTGTTTTGATTTCGTTCTGCAAAGAAAACATGTCGCTGAGTATTAACGCGATGCTCACGTAGTCACCTAGAAACAAAAAATGCAAAAGAATGCGGGGTATCCGAGCGAATTAAATCGGGGAATCAGCAGAGGAGAATTCCAAAAAAAGGGGAGGAGGACGTAAGACACTGAGGAAGCCAACGGTGACGAGGTCGAAGACGGTTTGGAATATAAATAAGTCGAAGAAGTTTGAGCCGAGAGAGCATATGAATTAAAGCGGGGAAAGCAAATAAGTTTAGGACATCAAGAGATCCAAAAAAGTTGATAAAACTAAGCGAAAGCAAGGAAGGAACCAAGTGTTGAAAAAGCGGAAACCGACGAGTATTTTCCGCGGTGGAATTTCCAGTAGCGAACCTTTTAGAGATCGAGGCCAAGTTTTTTAATTTAGTGCTTGAGGGTATACTTTTCACCTTAGCGCCCACTTCTACGAGTGCGTATCAATTCTTCCCCTTAGAAATGATGCCAATAATTCTGCCTTATCTAAAGAAGAAATATGGCAATTTCCTAGGATTATTCCCTGGTTTCTGTTTGTCGATTCGCTTAAATTGAACAAAAACTAAAGACAGGAACTCGGGATATCATGCGCACAAATTAATCAATGAGTCAGTACATGAAATGGGCATAATAGCCAAAGTCCCTTGGTGAATTAAACAAAAAATTATTTAATAAATAAAATTAAATGATTTAGACAAAAACTTGTATAGAACTTGGCATAAACTGGAATAGGTATTTACATAGAAGTCAGGAAAATGATACATTACTGGCGAGGAAATATTGAAGGACGAAACCCCTTTAGGGCCGAGTACTTTAAGTTCCGAGTCAATTAGTGTCATTTAAGTGACGAGTTTTGTTGATTTAGATATTGCCTAGTTGCCTTATTGTCCAAATATTATTCTTGGGTCAGTTACTCTACCAAAAAAACTCTTTTGGGTGCTTCTAAGTACAATAGATACGAGTTTGGGAAACTCTGCACAACAGGGTATGTCAACACTAGCTTCCTTCCACCATTTAGACTAGTGTGGGGTTGTGGCAATGTACATGTTGGAGTGTATGCGGACGAGCAAAACAACGCCATGTAAATAATACCGCCTTACTCAACGCAAACCCTCGTTAGGTGCTAAACCCACTCGACGCCAGATGTAACCAGCAACGGACTGACGCCGTCTGTATAAATCAACTGAAATTTGCAAGAGATATAGACCCCGGTATCCTTCAAGAACATCCAGATGTCAAAATCTTTTTGCCGTTCCGTTTCCACGTATACACCCCCGAGGATCTCTACACGCCGAACACTTACAACAGACATTTAGGTAACGATCGTCGAGACAATCGCATTCCTGTAACCTCGATTTTCAGTTGCTCCAAATGGCGATCACGTTATCAGTTTGATCGACGAAATCTCCTACATGGCACCACCAGTACCGCTCATTTCTCAGTACGATGATATAGACCCCGAACAGTTCTGTAACGGCGATAAAAGGCCGGCGAACTGCGGACCGAACTGCATGTGCACGCATAAAGTGGACATACCCCTCAATGCCGTTGTTGAAGTGGTACTGGTCGATGAAGGTAAGCCAATCTTTCTAACGGCCACGTTTAATCTTTCCCTTACAGTACAACAACCCAACCTTAGCCACCCCTTCCATTTGCACGGCAGCGCGTTTAACGTAATTGGCATGGGTCGCTCGCCCGATCGAAACGTAAAGAAAATCAATCTAAAACACGCCTTGGACCTGGACAGGCAAGGTTTGCTCCACCGACAGTTCGATCTTCCACCCGGCAAAGACACAATAGCAGTACCAAACAATGGTTACGTCGTACTTCGATTTAGAGCAAGTAATCCAGGTTTTTGGCTTTTCCACTGTCACTTCTTGTTCCACATAGTGATAGGTATGAATTTAATTCTACAAGTCGGTACTCTGGCCGACATACCTCCGGTACCACCTAATTTCCCAACCTGCGGGGATCACTTACCCGAGATTAATTACAATTTCAGCGACAAACTCTTATAACTGTTTATATCGTAACTATTTTCATATTGTAAATTTTCCCCTTGCTCTTTTCACCTGTGTGTATTTATATTGTTTTTGTTATTAAGTATAGACTCAATGGTATCAAACGCCATATTACGTAAGGTAAGTGTTCGTGTATCATGCTTTCATTTCTGATTTTGGGATGTTTTTGAGTTTTTTTTTGTATTTTTATTAATATTGGTGCTACACTCTAATATGAGATGCGCACGAATGTCTGTATATAGAATAATTTCTTTGGAAGCCACATCACTCGTTGTATATAACTGTGTAGAGTTAGTAGGTAAACTTTAAGGTACTTGAATATTTGATCATTACCTAGTAATTGTAATTATTGTAGGAATCATTCCCTTTAATTCCCCCTTACTCGTTGTAAAATAATTTCATCGATTACTTTTCGTTTTACCATTTTTGCCATTCTTTTTCAATTAATTTAATCGAATCTACCACAAATCACAGACTGTCCCATATGAAAATAGATGTTTAAGGTTGTCCTAGTCTTTAATAATTTTCAAAAATCGACGTAGTTTAGTATGTGAATGCTACATGCCGTTATTTTTGTAGATACTATTTGTTTAGTGTACGTACTTAATAAAAATATTTAATGTTTGTACGCATGTATTTTATTTGCTTTATCGGTAGGAGGTAAGTTGTGTAATGCTTGATGCCAAACTGCATGTAATTTGCTGATATGCGCTTGGGAGGTAAGGAGTGGTCGGTGGAAGTGGATGAAATGTGACAGTCTATGGATTCTTTTCTGTACAACAGAACAGAAACCTATCCAGGAATACCACTATGGTACTTGCGCCAATTTGAGTCATTGTCTTTTGCTTCAATATTTACACTTGAAATCGGTGTGGCTTAATTTCTTTTAAATAGTAACCTGACTTACCTTTCTATCTGACTGGATTTGCTTTTGATTCGAAAAACTTGGTAAAAATGTAACAAAAACCGTTACTTTTCTACAAAGAGAATTTTTTAGTGCACTTTCTAATTACTACTACTTTGTTTGAACTAACCAAACCTGACCAATTCAGCACTTAGAATTACATCTATACACTTAATCAAACTTAACAATCATTCTTCAATTATTGGTAGAGCATTAGCACTAATGCGAGGAAATAATAACATATACTAAAGTTTCTTGCCAATTTTGCCATACCCTTGATTCCATTGCGAATTAAAGGTCTGTTCAACAAGGATTTCGTTTGCGAAAAATTGCTCAAGTTTTCATTTGAGAATTGATTGGAAATGGAAAGAGTGCCCATTTCTACCTATACTGTACATAGCCGAAAATTGCTTACATGTATAATATAATTTAGAAAATGATGTAAATACGCATCAAAAGTGATGGGTAAGCTGGGTGGTAGGTATAGGTATTCAGTTGTATTACTGAAGAATTGCATTTCTAAAATTTTTGCATAGGTCCTGAACCCCCTGGACGCCGTCTGTAACAAGCCGAGAAATGACGCGGTCTGCGTCAGCCAACTGCGAAACGCAAAGAAAATCGACAAAGGTATCCTACAAGAACGGCCAGATGTTAAAATTTTCCTGCCGTTCCGTTTCCTCTTCTATCGTCCCGAGCAGTTGTTCGCACCAAACACTTATAACCGATTCTTGGGTGAGTAACGAGCAAGTCTGATTAATTGTTTAATTAAGTATTTAGCTGCGGTTGGTGGTGATCATGTCATTAGTTTGGTTGACGAAATTTCGTTCGTACCACCTCCCTCTCCCCCTCTGTCGCAGTTGGATGACATACCCCCCGAGCAATTCTGCAATGGTGATAACCGACCGCCAAATTGCGGACAAAATTGCATGTGTACACACACAGTTGATATTCCATTAAATGCAATCGTAGAAGTTGTACTCGTAGACGAGGGTGAGTATGTGTTAACCAAGGTTCCAATGGATCGAACTTGGTTTTGCAGTACAATCGCCAAACTTGAGCCACCCCTTCCACTTACACGGGTATACCTTCAACGTGGTCGGTATTGGACGTTCACCCGACCAAAATGTGAAAAAGATCAACCTCAAGCATGCCTTAGATTTAGATCGGCGAGGTCTGTTGCACAGGCAGTTCAACTTACCACCTGCCAAAGACACGATAGCAGTTCCCAACAATGGTTACGTTATATTCAGGTTTAGAGCGGACAATCCGGGTACGTGTCACAATCCACAGCACCCTCGACAATATTTACTTTGCAGGTTGGTGGTTATTCCACTGTCACTTCCTTTTCCACATCGTGATAGGAATGAGTTTGATAATACACGTCGGAACGCAAGGCGATTTACCACCGGTTCCTAAAAGCTTCCCCAAATGTGGAGATCATTTGCCACCAATCACGCAATATCATGGACATTGGTAGTGTTATATGCAGACTGAAAGCCATTGAGTTTACATTAAAGAAGAAAATGGACGTTTGAGCTGAACATTATGAGAGAAAGTTACAACATTGTTGTTAAACAAAATGCCATTAAACACTTAGACATTTATTGTTGTTTTTCAAGCACCAGTGCAGGTTGTGTCCAGAATATAGGTGATTGCTTCTAAACGCTTCAGAATACACCTAAAGGATGCTTCTAATTGCGCTAACATAATACGATACGATTCTATAGAAATAAAAACAATGAGGAAGAATTTTAGTCCCTCAGAATTGATGTAACTATTTATAAACAATACAAACAGAAGTTTGATCAATTTCGTATGAGATCCACGAGGGTGATCTCATTTATTCGCATTTCTTTTAAACAAAAATGGATTGGCTTCATTAGCCCTTTCCCAAACGCTGGAATTTTGGTAAATAGTAATTTGTTCCTACATGAGAGTGGAGGTATCAACAAAAAAAGGAACTGTAGTCATAAATTAATCTTAAAACGTTTCGAAGTTGCAAAATAGAGCCACTTCATTAATATCTCCCCCTTCTCTCACTAACAAAATCCGTATGGTTTGAAGCATTTTTTTTATATGGGAGGCGATAGCATGTATGTACCATACGACCCCTCTGTCACATTTTTCAAGGGATTAGTAACGATAAACAGAATGCGATGTCCTTTTCCTTCGTTATAAATTTGATGTATCGAGCCTTTCTTTATTATTCTTACGGAAATTGGAATATCCAAACTTTCATTGGGACATTTAATACTATGATTAGAACAAAAACAATCAAATCGAGATTTTTGAGACTTAGTTCGAGTGGGAAATGTATAAAAATCAAAAGTTTGCGTCCCACTACAGAATTTCAAACGACAAAGGGCAATCAATGCTCTTTCTTCTTTGTCTTTCCCACCGAAGGAGATCAATGACCTTAAAAATTTCAATTCAAATTTGACATGTTCCACCATTTCCGTTAATTTATTAAGAGTACAAATTTTCACACCTTATTTTATTATTAAAAGCGATATAGGCATGGCAATTCTCGCAAAATGTAGGTACGATAAAGCTGTCGCACTCGCGCAATGGGCTAAAACATAAGTACTTATAGATAATTTGATCTGAATATCTCATTTCAAGTGTTACTTGTTTGCCTAATGTGATGTCTGGGTTTGCTACTGTAGTATGACATTTAATAAGCAAAGAACATAGGTATTCCGAACACCACGTTTTCAAAAGAATACAAAAATCGTTAAATCGGTATGATCTGAAGATTGAGCTAGATTTAAGGATTATTTTGGAGTTCTTTAAAGAAACTAAAGTAAAGGAAAGTAAAAAACACTTTAATGAACACACGTGAGCAAAAATATGGAAAAAAATAATGACCAAAACAGATTCAATCAGTTTTTGTGTTCCTACAACTCACTATTTATGGCAACGAAAAACAACTCACTTGTTCCATTACTACCTCATTTTTACAATTATATAAACTAAATCAAGGAAATTTTCAAATATTTTAACAGATTATTTAAAATAGCGTTCTGGCCCCTCATTTTAAGTGCTTTACATAGCATACTCGAAGTGATATTCACATTCAGAACTATAGAACATGTTCCATTACTTATTAGACGCTTGCTGCCTGCTCGAAAAGCGATGGAAAGGCGTGGAAAACTATGGGAATAAGGTCTGAGGGTATTGAGAAAGGTCCAAAGTGGTTTGATAAGATGCGAAAGTTCTCCAAATGACATAAATATGTCTTTCAACTCTCTTCCTGCCCACCAATCGCTTGACAGGGTCCAGAGCCGGTGCAGCTGGTAAACGTCACATATTTTTAAAGTAGCCCCCGGAAGCAATTTATATTTATCCTTTCTTATGATGTCGAGAGTTAGGTGTAAGCAAGCTCAGTGTTGACGTCATGTAAGTATTACATACCCGAACAATGAACTGCTAGACCAAATTTGGCACAAATTTTCACTAAAGATGAAGGTCTTGGGGTAAATGAGGTGGAAGTTATAAAATTGTGCGTATTAAAAACGGACTCATTGATTTTTATTTTCTTTTTGCGATGGATTTCGGGGTAATATAATGATTCCACCCTCCGGATTAGCTAAAATTAGATACATATAGAAGAAGTGAATAGACTAATAATAGACTAATTTATCGTCAATTAATTAACAATTGCTGAGATGCTGACAATAATAATTACTTTAATTCATGTATCCATCAATTTTACATCACACCTCCTTAAGGAGTCCCCTCAGATCAAAATAGCTTGTAATATCAAATTTTTTAATTTGGAACTGGTTTTAATTTTATTGAAGGTGTGTATAATAATAATAATAATAATAATGTTTATTGGACCTATTCAATTTACATTGTTTGTCACGTCAAAATGGTATATGAGATATAAACGAGTATAGGTATATATAAATATTTCACACATTAAAAATATCACAGTATGTTAGGAACTACAAGACTAGATTCGCGTGCATTAAGGAGTATTCAAATATTCTGCGATACTGTAAAAACAATTTTGCAACAAGAGTTTTTTAACATTAATTTTAAATTTAGGCAATGACATTAGTTTTAATTGACTATCCAATTTGTTGTAGAGTTTTACATTCAGTGAGTTTCTGTCGGACACACATAGCTTAAATTTTGGGGGCAATAACAATTGACAATGGCGAGTGTTGTAATTGTGGATGCTCCTATCTGATACTTCTCCTTTAGAGATTGTTAATTTATGGATATCAACTAATGTGTTATAAATATATATGCATGGTAATGGCATTATTTTAAAATGTTTAAACACATCTCTGCAATGATCTCTATTTCCAATACTGGCAATAATCCGCACAGCTTTTTTTTTGAATTCTAAAGACTCTTTCAGAATGAGGAGATCTGCCCCATACAGTTATCCCGTAGCTAATTCTGGAGTGAATGAAAGCGTAGTAGCTTGATATGAGTAGGTACATGAACATTTACAGATTGTCGTAATTTTAATAACAAATAAATGTTGGAAGATAATGTCGTGCATAATCTGTCCACGTGAGTCTCCCAATTGAGTTCATTGTCTAATGTAATACAGTAATATTCATGTAGAAGTAGACATAGGGATTTCCTATGTCTACTTTCAAATGATAAAAAGTCTTCTGAAAAACGCCTAATTTTATGCAACAAAAATAACTTCTTGAAACAAATAAAGATCTGGCTGTCATATTAATTATTAATTTGAATATTGTTGCTTTGGCTTCACAGAAAATAAATCTCTTAAGCTCCTTTAACTGTTACCGCCACTATACCAATTGGAAATATCAACTTTTTCTTTAGTTTTTTTTATTTATTTAATAATATAATAAACGGCAAAAGTATAAAATTTTGATACATGAAAAAATTGATTTTTTACAATAACTTTTTTAGTAAGAAACACAGAAAAAATTCCTTCCTTGGTGCAAGCCTCAACACTTTAACGAACCAAATATCGAAAAAGTAGAACGATAGCTCTTAAGATAAAGATATCTAGTAGCCCCGGACGGACGGACAGACAGACGGACGGACGGAGTGCCCACAATAGCGCATTTTTTCATTTTTTCGGAAATGCGCTAAAAAGTAGCGACATTTTAGCATTGGAAATGCTTATGTTTTGTTATGGGTATGAAGTTACCAGTTTTCGTTGAAGAAACAAAGACACGGTGTCCCATCAAATGATGATTGTACCGTACTCGACCGCAATCGGTTGATTTGGGAAAAATCTCGGATACTGTCGATACGGTACTTACGTATAGTGCGCAATTGTTTTGATAATTCCAATCTAAAATTCTCGCACATCTCCTTAAATAGGATTAAAGCATATTATGATCAGGCTAATTATTCAGAAAGTGTGAATAAAGCTTATTTGTGTTTTACATATTATAGCCATTGAATAAGCAGCTTAAAGAAATATAACACCCGTGTTAACTGATGAAATAAGAAAATCTGCCCAGGATTCTGTCGTCCCTCTGTTGTGGGGGGAAAGTGAACCACAAATTTAAAGCTAGTTACCGACTTTGCAGATTTCTTTACTTCTTTAAAATTCCAACGTTACCAGATTTTTGGCAAGCGCTTTGAGTTTGAATAAACTAGATCAAAATATTGAATAAGCTTTTATTCAATGCCAATAACAATATTATGTAAGGGAGGATCAATCTGAAATGTAAGATCATAAGGAACAATAAATAAAGTAAAAACTGAAGTTTAATCTAATAAGAAAACAACAATAACTGTTCTAAGGACCATTATCTTTACATAATAAACAATCAAACTTTACCTAGCTCCATATAAGGATCTGGTAAATATGACAACACTGTTCAACTCTGATAAACAAGGAAAACAAAGGACCCCTAAGTATAACTGGTTTCCCTGTTTAAATAGTCATTATTTACCGCCCGAGGCCAAATATCCTTCAATATTTGTGGTAATTAACCACTTTGCAGTGTATGCAACACACCTTACACCAATTTCAGGTTATGTAGTTATACTTCTTTAAAGTGCTTATTTACGATTACGATTATAATTTCCAATGATTCCGATGGTTGCATGGATTACGAAATCTGTGAATTTTTTACACACGGTAATCCAGCATTGAGGTTGAATAATATCTATGACAAAAACGTTTGTTGTTGTGTACAAATAAATTATAAATGAACGCCAAGGATTACAACCTCTACATTAAATAATAGACTAAATAAACAAAATTACTATATTATTCTTTCTTCGTCATGGAAGGAACAAGACTGAGATTCGGCCTCATAAATAAAATAAAAAATTCGGTTTAAAGGCGGTATACAGACAGTTTCTCCCTTCTGCGCGTAGTTGCCAGGTCTCGAAAAAGTGCGCATCGTATAAAGTTGTTTATACAGGGTAGAACTCTCATCGGTATTCTCTGGTTGGCTGCATTGCAGTTCGAGGTGGTGTTTGCCACTTCCAAATCCAGCTGATACACAGTTTCCCACTCTACTTTAAAATTTTGGAAATATTGTGCAATAGTGCTTTTAGATTTGGAAGTGATTTGGAACGTATAAAAGTGCATGTCTAACTCAAACAAGCTGCAGTCGTTGCTGTGTATGCAGAGAATTGATAAACCTGAGTGAGTGCTAAGATGTGAAATAATCAGGTTCAGTGTGGATTTCTTCTTTTCGTACAACTGTATCTTCTCCGACTGACAAAAGCTACTTCAATGGATGAACACACAAGTCTCGATTTAAAGGTAAGCTTTGTGAATTAGCTACGCCATTTAATAACCCGAATAATACAGCAACAAATGGATAAGTACCAATTCCTCGAGCTTCTACTGCTGCGATGTCTCCCACAAGATCAACTAGACTTCAAGCTTGTCTCTCATGACGACCACAATTTTCATTTAACTCTGGACGACCACCACGATGTCTGTGTAATTCGCCATCTTCCAGCAACTCGAAAGTTGAGCCAGCGAGATTTCGACGAGGGAGGTGAATTGCTGTTAAGTAGCAGCTGCCCAGAGTGTGTAAGCCGGAAAGCAAATTATTTTATTTACACAAATTGCCCAACGGACCATCTCAATTTAACCGAGCTGCACGATGACAAATTTAACTTCCTAAATTTCACAAATTTGCGCAGTGTTGTTACGGATAGAGAAGGGGGCGTTTTTATTGATCAAGTGCCTTCAAATTTACATTTAAGTGTTAATGAAGCTTTAAAAGTATTTGCTAGTCATTATAATCTTGGGTCGTTTCATTCCCAGTATATTTTAGATCGATTTTACGCTTTTGTTAAAGAAAGTAAGAATTTTACCAAGGAAGAGGCGAAATGCGCTTTGTTAGAGTTATTTATATGCAAGTACAAAGTAGATTTAGCGTTTGATATTGACAGTTGGAAGTGTAACGATTTTTGGAACTCTATCACTTGTGGTAAATCATTTGTTTTTGTCAATTCCAATTTTGTAAGTGACACATTTTTAAAAGCACACACTATTGGTGTCATTGCCAACTTCGGTGATGCATCCGAGTTGGCTTACAAGAAGTTGTGGTTCACTGGACAAATTTCCTTGTTAACTTTGGCAAGAACATCGGATGATGTGAACAGTATTGTTAGTATTGTAGAGGCTGCTTCTGGTAATTTAAGAGTTACTGTGTTAACGGTGGCTGATCATTGTGACACTGTGTTCCACTTGGATTATGACCATGTAAGGCAGTTGTTGGGGTGTAAAGTCAGCTTGCAAGGGAAATTTTTGGCCAATTTGGGAGATTTGGTGGATCCCGCATTGTTGAGATCGTTGTATGCTAGTGATATTATTAGTTTAATTACGAACAATTTTGTTATGGACTACTATTATAAGGAGCTACCTCCTTATTTTATCGAAAGGTCATTTTTGAAAATCATTCTTCGACTGGATGTCGTTAACGACTTGAGGAATGAACTGTTCGTTGTGAGAAATGAAGGGGGTTCCGTTAATCTGCCGTTAAGAACTTTAGAATGTTTGCCCAATGTGATTGTTGACGCAGATGAGCATGGTATGATCGAGAAGGCGCGAAGTGAAAATCGTTCGGTACACTTTGTAGTGTCGCATGGGGAGAATTGGTTGGAGTGGACCGGCTCTTGGGGTTGTGTGGAAAATTTACGCCAGTTTGAAGCATCACAAGAATACAATTTGACGTGTGATTTTCGCCATTTAGTCGGCAACAAGCATAGTGTACACATCATCATAGATTCATCAATGGGAAAATCCACTTTGTTGGATTATATTGCGCTGAGTGTACCTGAGGAGTGGGTGATCACCGTCGACTTACAACAGTACATTTTCAATCACAAACCTACATTAGACCACGTATACCAGTTATTCAAGCAAGAAGTTAAATCAGAACTGGCACAGAAGATTTTTAAACAATTTGTCGATTCGAAAAAAATTCATTTACTTCTGGACCGGTATGATGCAATAGCTCACACGCATTTTAATGAGGTTGTCGAACTCCTTGAATTCCTGCAAAGAAACAATTTGAACACATGGTTACCGGTAGGTCCCAATAATGCTGTGCAGCTTACAGAACGTCTTGGTACCATTGCAACGGTCACAAAACCATTCAGTGCCCAAAATCAGCATGATTTTTTAACCAAGTATTTTAGCCAATTTTGTAACCGTAATGTAGCTACCAATGATTTTGTAAATACTCTACTAAGGGTTGTTAGAACAAAAATTGACGCATTTCTCGATTCACCTCTGTACCTAAAGTTTATTGCTGACATTTACACTGAGAGGTTTAAACACTTTTGTGTGACTGGCGGATTACAAAACGAAGAGGAATTTGTTTTGCTTAATTTTTTTGAAGAATTTTTGGCACGGTATCTTACATATCTCGTTGACAAGCACGGATATTGCAAAACTAAGATTCTTCCCCACCTCTTTGGGTTAGCATTTCAAAGTGTTTTTAAGGATAGCAGCCTACAAGATTTGGATTGTTTAAAGGTCCACATTTTAGAGGAGCTTGTAAGAGAGGAGGGCGATTTTTCTTACTCCATCCTTTCACATTATTTGATCGCGAAGTGGATGGGCGAAAACCTATCGAGTAACTTTGTGAAAATCTTCAATCGGAAGCGGTCTCGATACATGGAACAATACGCCAACATATTTAGAATGTTTGATCTAATGTTGGCGAAGAATTTAGAGGTACACACTGCACTGATTGAAGGCAAAATCAATCAGGTAATCTCGTCTCCATCTCTTCCATTTAATGAAACTGATGCTGGTGGTCGAAACATCGCGCATATTGCTGCTATGTATGGAGCTCCCCACTCATCAAGTCATATTGCTCCTAACATTCATATAGAAGATAATTTTGTGCACGTCATCAGATTGGCAGATTTAATGGCAATTACCACAAACGACGCACTATTAGAGTACTCGCCACTTGAGTATGCGATAAACAGTAGTTGTCTAGCGGTTGCAAATGAAATATGTAAAAAAGTGCCTCACTTGATACACAATGCGTACATAGATCTACCAGAGCTGGGAAACTACATCCAGTACTGTCTTCGAATTGACGATTATAAACCTTTATTAAAGTCATTACTTAAATACATCATCTGTTTTACTGTGACCACTCAAAAGGTACTGGAAATCTTCAACCTACACACGCTGTTTTCGTATTTAAAACTAAACGAAGTGACACAACAGAATTTTCAAGACTACTTATCAATTTACGACGTTACATTCCTAAACCATCTAATGGAAAAACTCGAATTGAAAAAGGAAGGTGCAAGGTATTTCACTAACATACATTTAGCTGCCGCCCTTGGAAACAAACCAAATATTCTTGAGTTATTGAATAATGGCGCTAAAATCAATTCGAGTTGCGGTTGTTTTACTCCGCTACATGCAGCAGTGGTATATAAACGAATTGATAACGTCACCACGCTACTAACGGCAAGGGCTAAAATAAACATCACCGACTCTCTCGGTAATACCGCCTTACACCTAGCGTGCCAAAATTTTGGTACGGCCCTTGTACGAAAACTGATAACGAAAGGCGCGGATATTAGCATACAAAACAACGAAGGCGACACCCCTTTCCACCACGCGTTGAAACACAACTGCGAGCAAAACGCCGAACTATTCCTCCCCGATAAGTACTACTCGTTATTTTTCTCTCCTCAAACGAGTATTTCTCGTGATAGATGCCTCGACGTAAATTTACCGAATAAAAACGGAGACACCCCTCTTTTGTTAGCATTACGACATTACTGTAGTAATATTGTTAGACGACTATTGGAGTGCCATGCCGACGTACATGCGGTAAACAACACCGGAAACACATGTTTGCACTATGCCGCGGCAATTGACGATTACAAAACGGTTTTGGAGTTGATATATTCGCACGTTAACATTAATGGTATCAATGATGATGGGGAAACACCTCTGATTATTGCCTTAAAATGTGAGCATGTAAGGATAGCAAGACTGCTACTTTCTAAAGGAGCTCGTGTTACTGACGCGAACAAATTGGGAGTTACTTGCTTGCATTACGCAGCTGAGTACGGTTTGAACGACGTGGTTGCGAGCATTTTGGATAAAGGTGGCGATGTTAACTTGCAAAATACTGAGGGCGACACACCACTGAAAATGGCATTGGTATCTCGACGAGTACGTACAGTATTACTTTTATTGAGCAGAGGAGCAAATCCTAATCTTTTAGACGGCAATGGCCGCAACGGTTTACATCATGCGATCAACTTCTCACTTGGGAGTGTTGTGGAAAGTCTAGTAACTAACCGTTGCTCAGTCAATCATGCGAATAATTATGGGGATACACCTTTGATTGCGGCTATTAATAAGGAAATTACACCCATTGTCACGCTTTTGTTAAAGAACGGGGCCGATATTAATGTGGTCGATTCAGATGGCTCCTCGTGCTTGCATCTCGCTGTGACATTACCAACATTACTTGAGGAACTCATTACACTAGGCCTTGACATTAATAAAGAAGACAATAACGGCAATACGCCGCTTATGGTTGCAGTAGAACGACTACGTGTATTTTCCGCCAAGATCCTCATGGCAAATGGCGCTTGTATTTCCACGGTGAACAAATCAGGATTCTCGCTTATACACTACGCGGCTCGAGCTACACTAAACGACTTGATGCTCGAACTGATAGACAAAGGGGCAGATGTCAATAAGAAGGCCAACAGTGGAGTAACCCCTCTGTTATTGCACTCACAGTATTGCAACTTAAAGCGTACCACTATAAAGATACTGATCGATAAGGGGGCCGATTTCGGTGTAATCGATCAACAAACTGGTAACTCTCTATTACATTTAGCTGTCGCCCAAGCCAACGTTGAAGCTTTAGAGATGCTACTTCGCTTAACCTCTAACATAAATTTGCAGAATAATGACGGGGAGACTGCACTGCACATGTCAATCAAGAGAGGGCACGCTGTCAGTACAGCTCAGCTATTCTTGTCCAAGGGAGCAGATCCTAACATTGCCGATCGCAGCAATAATACCTGTCTACGTAGCGCGATAATAGCAGACAATGCAGGTCTAGTTAAAGCCTTACTTAAACACGGCGCTAAGACTAATGGTGAATTTTTTAAGCTGGCTCAGGGATTGGGTCACGTTACTTTACTTCCTGTGTTGCTGACTAATGCAACTTTGGATGCAGTATTTTCTTCGATAGCAAATGGAGAGATCGACACTCTTAAAAGACTTACAGCAAATGGTTATGACATAAATATACGAGATGGGAATGAAAATACACCTCTTCTGTATGCACTGGAAAATTCTCAGGTTGCGGTCGTCGACTACCTCCTTACCATGGACGTCGATATAACGGTTCGTAATAATATAGGCTACACTTGTTTGCATCGGGCTGTGCGACTCGGTGATGCTAGAATTGTACGTCAGCTCCTTGCGAAAGGTTGTGACATTGACGCCGTGACTTTGACCGGTGAATCATCTCTACTAATCGCACTCACCCACAGACGTTTGCATATTGTACAACTGTTGCTCGACTTGAATGCAAAAGTCCACACAGTACCACAAACTGAGGAGGGATCGTGCTTGCACGCCGCCTGTAAGTATGCGTCATGTGAGATTGTCTCGCGCATTCTACAAACGGGCTGTGATGTAAACCAGCTGAGTGCATCTGGACTGATACCGTTCATGGAAGCAGTCGACAATAACAAGCGAGAAGTGGCCTTAATGCTTATTGAAAGTGCGGTAGATGTCAATCTACTAACAGAATCGGGGTGCCTCTTCTCCGCCGTCAATTCGCAATATCTCGATATTATAAACCTCCTCTTAGATAAAGGTGCGCCCATAGATCACATGGACGGTTCCTATACTGCGTTGAAAAATGCCATTAGAAGCAAAAAAAGAGGTTCAGCTAAATTGCTACTGTCTAGAGGAGCCGATGTTCACATAGGTAACGAGTGGACCTCTTACCCCTTGCATCTAGCCGCCCAAAATGAAATGGATGATGTGGTTTCGTTTATACTAGACGAAGGCTTCGATATTAACAAAAAAACCAATTGCCACTCCAACCCATTATTTGCCGCTGCGACTAACAAGAATTTCTCAACAGTCAACCTACTACTCGCCAGAGGGACCTCAATTGACACCTTCAGTAACGACTTTACCTCGTTACTGGGAGTAGCAGCTCGGAATGGCTGGGAGGAACTTGTGGGGCAGCTGATTGCAAGTGGCGCCGACATTCATCATCAAAATGATGACTGGTTCACCCCGTTAGACTTGGCAATGTTGCATCGACATGTAAACGTCGTTAAATTATTATTTAGCGCAATAATAGCGCAGGGACACGCAGACTCCCCACTTAACTACTTGCACAGCGCCGCCGCGTTTGGGGACAACAAAATAATCATTGCGCTTTTACACAACGGTTACGATGTTAACAAATTGAATGCTAACGGTGAAACTCCCTTACTGTTGTCCTTGAAAAATGAAAGATTGAGTACTTCCAAACTACTTTTAGCCAAAGGGGCGGTTGTAACGGAGGACTGCTTGCTTTTCTTCGCTCAGTACGGGTGGAATGACATGGTGTTAAAAATGCTGGAGAAAGGTACTGATGTTAATATCGGGCGGTACGATGATGCAACCCCCTTACTTATCGCCGTGCAATATAAAAATTTACCAACTGCTCGGATCCTCCTATCTCATGGCGCTGATCCCACTAGGCAAAACAGTGACGGTAGAACGCCTTTATACTATTCGATTCAAAATAATTGCAAGCGCACTTTGAAAGCTTTACTTGAAACTGTTAACGTGGACAAAAGCAAAAGGGACATAAACTCCGCAATATTCACCTCGATGGAATTGAATTATTTCAATTTGACCGAAATGTTGATCGCCTATAGTGATTGTAGCTCCGAAAACGAGTCTGGAGAACCCTTGCTTTTTGTCGCCGTCAAAAATGGCTGTGAAAATCTCGTGCGACAAATTCTGGCAAAGCACGGAAATGTTAATGAGATTAACTTAGACGGTGACACGCTTCTGATGGCAGCGGTCGCAAACAGTGACGTAGAAATGATTAAGTTGTTGTTGGAAGTGCTGATCCTAGGATCGTCAATAGAAAGGGAAATTCCTGTTTGCATTGCGCCGTACATTGTTCAGAAGAGGTGCTGGGTATCTTTTTAGAAAACTGTGACGTTAATCTAAAGAACCTTGATGGAGATACACCCCTAGTGTATGCTTTGAAAAATGCGTGTACGCATTCTGCGCATATGTTGATCGAGTCCGGTGCGGATATACGCATTGAAGATGCTCTGGATAACAGCTGCATTCATTACGCCGTTAAGCTAGGCGCGGAAAAATTAGTAAAGTGCCTGAAAGAAGGAGGGCTGGATATAAACAAGAGGAATCGAGAAGGAGACGATTGCTTCGACTTGGCCGTAAGCAATGGTAACGTCGACATTATGAAATTGTTGCTGTCCTACGGAGCGGACGTACACCAAGTGAATCGCTTAGGTGAGAATTGTTTATTGAAATGCATAGAAAAGAAAAGGAAGATGAAGAAAAAAGCCGATTTAGAAAATGCCGATTTCATACTCGATTTGCTAGCAAAAGGAGTGGACATTAATCAGCAGTCGAATGTGGGAATGACACCTTTTCTCATGGCGTTGGAGAAAGCCAATGTAGTCTTCGCGAAGATGCTGCTGGCAAAAACTGTTAATATCCACCTGCGACACCGACCCGGTTCCAATTTGCACTTTGCCATCTCGCAAAAGGTGGACGTAATAGGCGATTTGTTGGATTTGGGTCTGGACATAAACGAGCAAGATGATCACGGCGACACGCCACTACTACTAGCTCTCCAATCCGGTATGGACGCCACTGCCAAACTTTTACTGCGTAAAGGCGCCAGTGTCCACATCACAAACAACGCTAATAACTCTTGCTTGCATAACGCAATTGCTCGATGCAAGATCGAAACGTTATCAATGCTAATTGAGCAAGGCGCCGATGTTAACCATCGAAATCTGGCCGGCGAAAATCCCTTACTGAGTGCGCTTAAATTGCGTAAACTCACCATTGCCAAACTACTACTGCAAAACGGCGCAGACTGTGATATTTTTGACATTCAAAATGGCTCTTGCTTGCTTTACGCCGCGAAACATGGCTACGACGAGCTAGTTAGCGATTTTATTGCGAGAGGGGTACATATCGATCAGCTTCACCCCAACGGCAATGCGTTCCTAGTGGCTCTCAGAGGCAAACACGCAAATATTGCCAAGATGCTCATTAAAAACGGTACCGATATTCACTCATTCACGTCAAAGGACAAATGGATGGATTTATTGTTGCACGTCGACGATACCGAACTAATTGATTTGGTTTTGGCAAAAGGCGTAGATATTAATTACCGATTGTCCCAAAGCGAACCTCTCCTTCTCTCCGCTCTTAAAGAAAAATGTAGGAGAATGGTGGACCATTTAATTGCGAAGGGAGCCAACGTTAATTTGTGTAGTTACACCACTGGGGACTCGTGCTTACATTACGCAGTAGCAGCAGACTATGAAGATCTTGTCATCGATTTTTTAAGCAAAGGTTTAGATATAAATCGCGAGAATAATCAACGTGAAACACCACTACGTCTTGCATTTAAGGAAAAGCGTAGGAATATGATCAAATTGCTGTTGTCACATGGTGCCTCTGTCGATGATGGCAATTTTCTACATTCTTACATGCATTATGCGGCTGAAATGGGTGATAATGCCATTGTTGCAGCGCTGATACACAGAGGCGCTGATTTAAATGTGGTTAACACTGATGGTAAAACACCTTTATTTGTTGCGGTGTTATCTAACAATGTAGGGGCTGTGAAACTGTTGATCAGACATGGTGCAGATTATAATCTCACCGATAAAGAGGGTCGCAATTTATTAAGTGTTGCAAAAAGTATAGAGGCAGGTGAGCTGGTTATTGACTTTGCTAGTCTGGGACTTGGAGATGTTGAATAGGGTATTGATCAGCTATTGTCTAAGTTTTGCAAATTTAGGTTTGTTGTTATTGTATGGCCTTATTGTATGAATTTGTTACTTTTTTTGTACTTTATTAAAAAATATCTTCCAATGTCAGTTGTTTTCAATTTATTTCTTTTAGTTAGACCATTTCGGATTGTGGTAGCCCATTGCTGCTTTTCTTCTGTGCTAAGTATTTTGAAAGTCATATAGTCAGTCTTCAATTTGTATTCCGTGTGCAACTTTGTGAAGCAATATCATGCTATACATCAAAATTTTCGGAAAAATGTGTAGATTACGAATATCGATGGGGCGTACCTCTCAGGGCTGGCCGAAAGGAGAAAACAACCCCTATACAAAAATACATATTACGATAAAAAATAGCTAAAAATATTTTCCAAAAGGTAATGTATTTGCTTGAATCTCTATGGAGCAAACCTGTAAGGGGTGCCGGAAGAGAGAAAACTACCCTTAAACAACCCCTATCGAAAAATAAATGTTGCTATAAAACATTACTATAAAGATTTTTCAAAATGCATTTATTCGCTTGAATCTCCTTGGGGCGTACCTCTAAGAAGTGGTGGAAGGGAGAAAACTACCCTCAAACAACTTTAAACAGCCCTTATATAAAAATAAAGACAAAAAAATAGCTGAAACTATTTTATAAAATATATTTTTCTGCTAGATTGTCTATAAGGGGTACCAATAGGGAGTGGCTGAAGAGAGAAAGAAGAATGCTTTATATTTATATTATATTTGCATAGTTTTAAGGAAACAAAGTTGCTATTGACAGCTTTTTTTATTCTAAAAATGGATTTATTATTCGTTGTCGGAATGGCTATCCAGTGCATCGTCAGAATCAGTAGTTTTTTCATCTACATATTTCATTGTTTGAACAAAATTCGGGATCAGCCTCATATTTCCGTAGGATGCATTTTTTGGGTTAAACATTTGCACCTTCGAGTACAATTATTTTTTTACAAGAACATTTTAAAACATCTAGTAATTCTTTGGGTGCGCAAGGAAGAGTACACATAATGGGTTCAAATTTTTCGTTGTCCTATCTCCAACCGTATTCTGCTGGTGGCGGTAAATTCGGTTGAGTCTGTGTATCCCGATTCCATTCAATACATTGGTAGTGACATCTTTGTATTGCTAGACTTTTAAAACATAGTTTTGATGCTGAATATAAAGAACAAAAGCCTCGATCTGCTCAAAATCAGTCACTTTGAGTTTCGTTTTTACCCAAAGAAGCCAATGCCTGAAGTGTAGAGGAGTTCCTTCTAAGAACTTGTTCCAAAAACTAATTTCAGCTTTGCCTTTAAAATCGCCTGTGACATTTGGCCCTGAAAGAGCATAAAGACCTGGAAGTGCTTCAGCTTTGAGTGGCCCAAGAGCCTCGTAAAGTGGTTGTAAAGGCATTTCACGACCCCTAGAGCCAATACATATAAACATGGTATTTTTAGATAATAATGGAGCTCGTCTTAGAGCCAGTACCAAAACATCAGCAGCTGGCGAAAAATTCTTACTGTTCATGTGAACTCTTTAAGTGGTTCATGTGAACTCTTAAGTGGTTCATATCGCCGCATATCACAGTACAAAGCATTGTATTTTTATAAGACAAACTATCTTTTCATTACTGCGCCTATTTCCTAAATTTTTTTAACAGTTTATTTGAAAACTGCTCAGATAGGTCAGAAAGGTAGATGCAATCTTTTAGTAGGAGCATTTGTACTTCCGCCATACCATCAATAACCGCAATGCTGAAACCCCTATCTAAATAATTTTTGTCTTCGTTATCACAACTTGATTCCTTGCTTCCAATTTCTTCTAAAAGGTGCATCATCTTACTTTTACCCTGTAGATAAATCATACATAGAACCGTCAGCGTAAAAAAGTGACCGTGGTATTACGCAGTAAGTTCGAAATTACCAATTATTTCTTTTAAATTGAAGTCGGGACAACTTCGGAAAATCAAGACGCACCTACAAAGCATACTATGGCCTTGCTTTAGTTGCACAACACCTTTTTTATATTTACCGTAGTTCTTTTTAACATGGATGTATTTAAGCTTAAACCAGAAAGAAGACTTTAAAGCTTCCCAAAAATTGGTTATTTTATTTTTTATCGTGTTTTCAACAAAGTCGTTTTCGATTTTTTTTCACCAATGTCTGACATAGCACATATATCTTTGCATTTGAATATCAAAAACAGGCAAAGGGGCGTCAAAAAATAGGTGGAAACTTCTGTGAAAAATCAGTTCCGAGTCTAATTTACAAAAGGCGAAGTTAACCGATTGTCCCAGAAAATGCCCACCTATTTTCGAACGCGCTGCGGGTAATTTATATTTTTTTATATTAAACCTATTAGGGGTTTATATTATTATGAATCTACAAACTATTTTCTAATCCTTAGGTAAAGGGGGTTGCAACCCCTATCTTATACTTCTAATAGTAAGTATTTCAATTACAGAACATACACAAAATTAACATTAATATCAAACTTGACGTAGAATTATATTTACATAAGTAAAATTATACAATATTAAAAATTGCAACCCTTCAGGTAGTGGGGGGTCTTCCTAATATTAATTTTTTAGTAAAACACAGTATTTTTATTTACTTAAGCAAGCATTAATCAATTTAACTAAAAAATTCAATTATTTAATAATGTATTTAAAAGGACAACATAAGGGTAGTTTTCACCCCTCTGCGACCTTTGCGAGATGCGCCCCATAGAAATTCGTATTCTACTCATTTTCCCGAAAATTTTGATGTATCGCATAATATTGCTTCACTTATTTGGACACGGGACCTAATATTTGTACAATTCAAAACACTGACTAATATACAGATACCATACCTGATAACTGATCTTGATAACATGTCGGGGTACAAAGAGGAGTAGTGTAGAAATCAATTCCTTTTGTTGAGACGCTTCATTAGAATAGGTGCAGAGGAGTTCCACCCTGTATACATAATTTAGGAGAAGGAAAATCTTAATTTGAACGGTCATGAAAAGAGCATAGTTTTTTGGTGTTATTTAATGCAGGTAATCACATTTTTTATAATTCGAGTTTTGTATAGAAATATACCTTTTGTAACTTGTAACCTCGGAAAGAATATTGTTTTATGATCTGAACTTCATTTTATTTCGTCCTGCGCGTCCAATTTTTAATATGAAAGTAAGTCCGACTACAATACAAGCAAAACACTTCAAAATGAGCACTTCTTTTCCCATTTAAACGCCATTATAACTGCAAAGGATTTTGTGGTCACAATGCTGTGCACGTCATATAAACCACCTTGGATGATAGTTCAGGACGGCTTGTTTCCAATAGGCTCACTAATATAAGGACTCTGCACGATCAGTTTAATTTTTGATTTTATCATTTTGCGTTTAAAGCAGTTTTTTTAATCTAGAACAAGTTGATGGAATTTGCAGGGGGCGCATTTCCCTAAAGGAAAGTTACGCACTTGGTTTCAATTTGTCTCTCTTTGTTAGTACTTGAGGGGTGTAGCATTATAAACCTTAGCAATGTTGTATGAAAATGACCTATTGAAATATGGGGTTGTAATAGTCCATATAAATAAAAACGAATGTCTGTATGACTCTTATGCCTTCCGAAATCGTTCATCAAATTGTAATCAAACGTTGGGGAATAGTTGGACGTATGCTCGCGAAGGTTTCTGATTTCGTAAAACACTTCGCAAAGTTACCATGGCAACGGGAATCGGGAAAAAGGTTTCTTTGTACTCCGAAAGCACTCGCACGGGAACGGGAAAAAATAGATACGCAACTTTGACTAATAGGCGGTATGAAATCGCCGGACGCCGGGAACGACTAGAAAAAAAGTAGGAAATAACAATCGTCTTAAGAGTTTTATGCAATTGTAATATAAAGGGTGTCCCAAAATGCACGCAAGAAGTAATCACTTTAGTACTAAACACCGGTCACCTACTTCTTAATTAATAATGGCGATTTATTAATGGTTAAAAAAACTATACACGATAGGATTATGTATGGAATAGCACATCTCTCTACGGCTTCTGATGGAATTTTCCATAAATGTGACTGAATTTTGTTGCCTTGCCTCGCTCTCAAAATTACCTCGGGCGTGAGGTGATCCTCGCCCTGCACCTCTGAATTCGAAATGAAAAACGGCGACCTTTCGAATACTTCTTCATGGGTCCAAAAACGTGGAAAACGATGATCGTTAAGCATGGTACTCCGTATAATCTTCACATTGTATTGGCCTCGCCGACGCCTCCATGCTGACACTGTCACTTGAAACAATTGTTAAACGAGCTACCCTAGTGGGCACTGCTAGCCGTGTACCTGACAGTACAACCCATTGACACGACTCTGTACCCATCTAATCACGCACAACTCCTGCGAACCGGGTTCATTTGACTAGCCCTAATGCTAATATATTAGGGTGAGTCAAACGAAAACCGGCTCACGGCCCACGGGAGTTGCGCGTGATTAGATGGGTAGAAGAGCGCATTTCTTTAAATGGACACCCTGTATATTATTCAATATTTCAATTCTTCTCTCAATTTTAAGCAAAATTTGTAATAAGTATAATGCAATCGTTTATGGGTTATCGAGTTGTGAAAATAAACGCAATTAACAAAAAACTATAATTAATTATTGTTCTTTATTCAATACATTTTAAAACAAAACCTTTTATTTTCAAAACTCTGAAACGATTGCATTTGGATATATTATGCTTCCTATAAATTATGCTCAAAACTGAGAGAATTGAAATATCGAATAATATACAGGGTGTTCCATTAAAAAATGCAATATTGGTGTGACACGCCTTTATGACCAATCCTGTATAATTAAAATTACTATTGCCTAGTAAACATTAAAGAACCTCAAATCTGTTATATAAAACTTTTTTTGATACCTTGTATATTTTCACCTTTAATAGACTTTTGCGAAAATGGTTTTTGTCCTCCAATTCTTTTAGACTGATGCATCTAAATAACGATTGGGCCTATGTGATTAATTAAACTATCTAAAAAGCGTATATCTGTTACTGCCACACCTCTAGTGTGCAAACTAAAAGCTCCAGAAAAATTCCCTTCAGCATCATACAGAAAAATGGGGTTTTTTAAGAGCTTTTATTTAATGCCACACAAAAACACATGAGGAAAATTAACGCACTGTAATCATTACACAATTTGTTTGCCCCGATACACCCCAAGACTTAATATATGTAATGGTGGATATTTGCCTAATCCTCTAACAAATAAAAATGTAAAATACTCATAGAAAATTAAAATTACAATAATAAATAATAAGCATTAACAATAATACATTGGTATCAAACATTAGCAGTATTCACATTGCAACTAACGTAGTTAGAATTGCAATCCTGGTACTCTTGAATATTAGGTAGAACTAAATCCTCCTCCTTAATGCACGCGCATCTAAACGAATCCGAGCCAGGTTCGTATAACTTTCTGGGAAATCCAATCCAACTTCTCTCTAAGCCACCACTGCGAAGCAAAGATATCAATGCATGACTTTGGGAAACACAACCACACCTTCTTTCGGTACACCACACTCTCGTGCCAGTGTCTGCATTCCACTCGATGTTGCAAGGCGGAAATTCGATTGCAACCAACTTTAGTTGCTCTTCATCACTCAGAGCATTCCTTATTAGATCGTTCACCTGTTTATGATACTGTGTCTCTTGGCCGTTGGTATCGTAATATCTTCCAATCACTTTGCCTAAGGGAAGTGATAACACCAAATTGCTAGCATCGGTTGAGACATACCCACTTTTGTATACTGCTTTTCGTAAAACTTCACCCAATTGTCTAAGGACAGCAGCTCTTTGTTTGTCAACCCAATAACATCATCGGAAGCTTCCGCGTCTTTAAATTTTCCGGTGACAAAGGACCGTGACGCATCACGACCTATCGCACACAAAACGGAACGTTCACTTCAATGTAAGCAATGCATACAGACCGACGAATACGTTGTACGTTTCTCCAGGCCCGTAATGCTTGCGTCCTTTTGATACATCGTAAACACTACCTAAGACTGCAAGATACAACCTGGGATTAGCTTCACCGTTGAATTCCTTCAATTCTTCCGGTGTCAATAAGTCTTCGGTTTTGCTCGATTTGTTAAGTATGCTATTTAAAAAAATTACGAACTGGTGATTGTAGATGCTTAATATTAAACCTAGCACTAAAACTGTAAAGGAAAGGGCAAGTTTAACTGTAGTCATTTTTTGAGGTTATGGATGAGAGTGACCGTATGACGTCACACGATCAGGGTGCGTATAACTAAATCCACATGGGAATAGTACACTGCCCCGTTATTGGGGTTGATTAATTAGCAAATTATTATGGGATGATTTGGATGTTAGATAGAAATTCAACGTGCTGAACAGTTTCATTTTTAACCGTGCAATCCTTGCCAAAAGTGATATAATTAGTAAGTAGATACGTTGTCTATAAATAGAATTATTTTTTACAGTAAAGTGCATTAGATTTATAATTTAATTACGAATACGAATTACAAGCACTAAAGTTTAATTATAAACATTTTTTCTAATCTACCACACTGTTTCCCCCAATGGCCTAATAATTAAAGGGGGTGCCCGAGGATCATCTTTAAACATAGCTTGCATTTGGATGTTGGAAGGAGTCTAGAACACTCAGGCACCTCTAAAAAAAGCTTTATGCTGGTCACTCTGCAAGCCTGTTGAGGGCCCAGAACAAGAGAGGGATAATAAATAAATAAAAAAAAGGGTGTAAAAAAACCTTGGTCCTAAGAACAAAAACAACATTTAAATGGATAAGGGCTAAGAATCCGACTGTCTTAGTATCACCCAGAGCTAAAGTGTTCCATATTTTGAAAAAAGCTTAGAATGCTTTGCAAAGACGTTACAGAAGGATCTGAAAAGGGTTTAAAACGTCTGGAATTGAAGCCACAAAATATTTATTTCAAAATCTACACTAAATTGTCTAATCTAAGGCACTTTGTAGTTTCGTTGCAATACCATTTTAGTAATACGCACACTGGTGCGTCCCAGCTGACCTCTCAAATTTCGGACGTTTCCCATGCTTCCTCCACGTGCGAATTTTGACGTCACGTCGTCTATCACCTATCACCATGCTTTGGATTAGGCAAGGACGTGCCCTGTGACCTTAATGACGTCGGGAATTCCTACATTTCGCAACACCTGCCTGGCAGTTATCAGTAAAATGAATCATAACGCGCGTGCCAATAATTGGAATTGGTTCAATTTAAAACCACATTCTCATTCAGGCTGTGACGTTATAGTAAGGAGCGCATTAAGAAAGGTACGCAAAAGCAAATCTAAACAAAAACTCAGCCCTTTTTTGTAGGTAAACAATGACGGTCTTCTCGAAAATCGTACTGTTCACACGACGACATCCCATCATACGAGGCATGTTAAGCTACGCAGTCTTGTGGCCGACATCTTGCATAATCCAACAATCTATCGCAGGAAAACGATGGAATAACTACGATTGGCACCAAGTTGCACGATTCGGTCTTTACGGTTCTTTTTTTATAGGCCCTACACTTTACGGTTGGGTCAGAATTAGCACAATACTGTGGCCAACAATCACAGTGAAAACGGCAATAACAAAGGTATCCACTTTGTTTTGTTATTCCAATTTAACGTTATATAATTGTAGGCTGTGGTAGAGCAACTCACCTATGGACCAGCAGCTTTAGTTAGTTTTTATTTTGGAATGAGTATGCTTAATAACAAAACTATCGACGAAGGTATACAAGAAATACGAATGAAATTTTGGCCCACCTACAAAGTGGGGGTTTGTGTATGGCCCGTTCTTCAAACCTTCAATTTTTTGGTGATCAAGGAACGCAACCGAGTTCCATTTGTAAGCATGTGCAGCTTGGTGTGGGGATGCTTTCTTTCATATATGGATAAAGTATCGCACGATGTAGAAGAGCAAAGGATACATCAATCGAATTCGTCTGTTCTACTCTCGAATTGACGTTTCTGGGGATTAGATAATTAGACATGTTGTACCTGGAAACAATTAAATAAGGGATGCTGGAGCAAATGTAAATAATTTAATGTAACTTATTGTTATATCACAATGATTGTGTGATACTGACGAAATAACTTATTATACATAGCCTAGCCAATCAGTATTAGAAAATTTATGTATTTTGTTATTTAAATTAAAAAAAAGTTCTTTAACTGATCTTTTACTTTTGCATTGAAAGTGTTTTCCAATTACAGTGAATGTTGGACACAGTCCGAAGGTCTTACTTAAAGAAAAGGCTTATAATTACTATTAGAGCTATCGAAAATTTTGAAAATGCAGAGATATTGGCATCAACTTCCTTATTTTAAATGGACGCCATATTGGATTTTTATGTTTTATTATAACGACATTCAAGAGACCTATAATATTCTATAAAAATTCACACAGGCCACCAAAGATTCACTCGAAGATTCATCTTTGATGATGAGATAGTTGGTATTGTGCAAAAAATATTTGCCTCCAACCGCCGCCTCTACATCTTTAATGAGACAAGTTATAACGTTGATTACTACCAATAGTCGGGGAGACATTTCTGAAAAGTGCATGTCTAACGGCGTTTTGTGCTACAAACTGGCAACAGACGGTTCTAGACTAATTGGCCCCCGCCGAAAACGATGCGCCCTGTTGCCAGACCCGATTTTCGCATTTAAGCCCTTAAATCCAAGATGGCGGGCGAAATTGCCGTTTTTCGGTTATTTCGAGTACACAAGGCGCGCCACTGAACGTTTTGGGTAGTTTAAGGGTAGAATATCATCTAGTACACACGTCGACATCGTTTAGGCACACTTTTGTATTATATTATTATATTGCCTAAATGCCAAAACTCCGTTTAAAAACGTCAAAAATGCAAAAATTCGTCATTTATATGTATTCATATGGTAAAGTTAACATTTAAGTATGTGGGGACCTCCAGCAGCGTCATATGCATGGGGCCTAAATATCAAGATGGCGCCTGGAAAGTTCAAAAACAGTGAAAAAGTCGTTCTTTTTGCCGTAGTTTTACTACACTGGCCACACATTTCCCATTTCGATGGCATGGAGCCATAATATGAGAATTGCGAATATAATTCTGGATGTTACACAACTGAAGGGCTTAACTGCGGAAGTGGGGACTCGTGTCCTATAAACTTTAACTATGGAACCAAGAGGCAGAAATTGGTTTGGGGGCGTAATTTGAGGGCAAATATATTAAAGCATGCTTCCCAAGTTTTCTTTGATTTTTTTAAATTAAAAGGTTAACACTTGGCAGTCGAAACTGTTTAGAATAATGAGCACTAATACTATGAAGAAGGTATTATGCAAGAATAAGAACGTTACAGAGTTAAACGTTGTCTCTTGAAGCACTGACGTTTTCTCTCTGGATTGTTTTTGGCATATTACACATAGACTAGGTACTGATTCATGCTGCATGGCCTAGGGAAAACTGAAACAGTCAAATGGAAGTCATCACCGCGAAAGAAGACATGAGCACCATCTACGATCAATAGAGATGTGGCCTAACGTTTGAATAGAGCATCTTCATGCGTTAGAATGTAATGTGATATCATGTTAAATTAGTATGAACGAGCTTAATGTTGATGTAAATGTTAGAGTGAGTCGCTAAATCCCAGGTTAAATCCCAAAAAGACACAAAACCTTCCCCATACTATTTTAATTTCGATTTTAATAGACAAATTGTAAAAGCCGCGACTAGTTTCGACCAACGGTCATCTTCTGGCTTAAGGAAATTACAGAATGAATCTTGTTAAAATATTTTAGAAGTACACAATGCAAAATTTGAAAGGCAGCATGGGGAAAAAACGATGACAATTAAACAATAACATTAAAAAATATCTTCTTTGAATGTAATCTTAGTTACATGATGTAAAATTAATCGACTTTTAATATTAAATGAAATATCGGGCGTAGGTGGAAGACGCCATCGAAGCGACACAGACGAACTTCAGGAGCGGCGCCGACGAAGATGCACAACAACACGCGAGTGCACTGATTGATAGTTTCGCGAATCCGTTCGGTTCGAGACGATAATTCCACCCCCCTCTCGTGGGGGTGTATTACGTCCGGGATGGCAGTCGCAATTACTCATAATAATGTTCCAGAACAGCGAACGTAAAGAGTGGCCAGTGTAGTAAAACTACGGCAAAAAGAACGACTTTTTCACTGTTTTTGGACTTTCCAGACGCCATCTTGATATTTAGGCCCCAGGCATATGGCGCTGCTGGAGGTCCCCACATACTTAAATGTTAACTTGACCATATGAATGCATATTGGACGCCGGTAACCGGTCAGGAAGAAAAAAAAATGATGAATTTTTGCATTTTTGACGTTTTTAAGCGGAGTTTAGGCATTTACGCCCTTAATAGGAATACGAAAGTGTGCCTAAACGGTGTCGTCGTGTGTACTAGATGTTATTCTACCCTTAAACTACCCAAAACGTTCAGTGGCTGCCTTGTGGGCTCGAAATAACCGAAAAAACGGCAATTTTGGCCGCCATCTTGGATTTAAGGGCTTAAATGTCAAAATCGGGTCTGGCAACAGGGCGCGTCGTTTTCAGCGAGGGCGAATTAGTCTAGAACCGCTTGTTGCCAGTTCGTAGCACAAAACGCCGTTAGACATGATTTAGAGAGCCTTTTTCAGAAATGTCTCCCTGACTACAATACTGATGGCCTTTTACAAATTTCACCTAAACTCCAAAACAGACTAGGGCGTGTTTACTTATAGTACAGTGCAATTAGACCCAAACCTCAACATCCAAAGTAAAAGTTTCCCTCCAACTGCAAATTGTTCTCAGTCCACAGACTCTTTGGTAAAAAGTTACACCATTTTAAGCGTCGGGTTTGGATGGGAGGGGGGAGGGAAGTTGGAAAATTAGTAGTTGTGATAATTTATTCTTAAATATTTAGAAAACTATACGATTTAGTGCGAAAAATGCTGTATACAAAAATAATCTACAGTAAATTGCAAACAAAAATGGCCTCGTATATAATCTTGCTAAATTGAACCGTTCCAGAGTTACGGAGGGTGTAACAGTAGAAATTTTCATCTTTTTTTTTTAGATTCTTTTGGAAAAAATATGAGATTATCACTAAGGAAACTATTTTTTTTTATTAAAACCGGTTCAAACAAATTGCACTTTAGTGACCGGTGGTATGTTACTGATAAGTCCTTGAAGGAACAATAACCTTACCACCTTCTCAAGGGGGGCCATTTTTTCAAGAGACTTCCACTATGAGGGACAGTAATTCCTGGGGAGTTGCAGGATGTGTTGTTATTGCTCTCAGGTGTTCGACAATCTTCCATCCCCACTTCAGCGGGTTCTTCTTCTCATGCAGCCACTGTTACACCTGATGGTAACTTCTAAATTAATGTTATACCTGGTATAGCTGCTGAAGTGGAGAGAAGCGCAGCCAACTTGAACAGTGAATGTATAGGATGCTTTGAAATGGCTTGCAAGTAAAGCCCACATTACATCTATCAACTAATTCACGAATTTGCCCATGGACAAATTCAAGGTTAAATTGTCAAGTGTAAAGTACTATAAATTCATCAATTTTCTCAATAATTTCTTCATGGGTTTGTTGGTGGATTCCTTGATGAATTAAGAACTCTAATTTTCGTCAATTTTCTGGTGATATTTTAGTAATTTTGTTGTTATTCCATGTATACCAATAGACGGCGGCATTTGTACTAATTTTGTAGGGTGTAGATTATAACCACACTTTTATTGAAAGCGTCCGTGGTATTGTACTTTTACAGTACCTACAGCAAATAAGTGTCAAGCACTGTAACAGCAACCCTCATAGCAACTACTGCTGCTTTAACTTTGGCTGCATTATTATGCCTTAACTTTGTTTTGCTGTTCATTAATCTAATAAGAATAGGTAACCTATGTAAACAGAGGGTTGTTTGTTTTGTTTAGGCGTTTGGTAATTTTTCTCAAAGTTGGCAATCCTTAACATAGACTAGAAAATTCATGGTTTTATTGACAAGTGTAAAGTGTTCTTAACACTGGTAACGAAAACAAGCCAGATCTTCAGTGTTCTTTACTTCAAACATAATTTCATTTTTCCAGAAAATCGAAAAAATACGAAAAATGTCTACTTTTACACCCTCCATAACTCTGGAATCGTTCACTTGAGCAAGATTATACAGAAGACTATTTTTGTTCACAATTTAATGTAGATTATTTTTGGATATCGTACTTTTCTCGCCAAACCCCATAGTTTTGTAAATATTTAAGAAAAACTCCAAAAACTACTAATTTACCAACTTTCCTCCCCCGTCCCATTCAAACCCGACGCTTAAATTGGTGTAAATTTTTACCAAACAATATGTGGACTGTACAGAACAATTTGCAGTTAATGGGAAACTTTTACTTTGGATGTTGAGGTTAAGCCGTTTTTTCGACTAATTGCACCGTACTATTATGGAACCCTTTGATTGAATAAGATATTCAAATGTGCATCACCAAGTAAGACTTATTGTCAATTGACAGTCTTGCTCCATCTCCTACCCCAGCTAGCTCGCAGATACGACCATTGCTATAATATAATTAATTAACTACTATGTTACACTGTATTGAAGCAAACTTCACTCTCGAGTGTGTTCTGATGCTAAAAAGGATCCATCCTAATCGTTACCAAATCCGCCATGTGTAACGTCTGGATAAGTCACTTATTTACGTACGAAGTATGTGTTGGTGATTTGAGGTGGGGATGAAACCCACTACATTAAATAAGAGACAAACTTGTATAAAATATATTTTTTCAAGAAATACAAAACAAAATATAACGTTATTATCAATTAATACACAGCCATTACACTAAACATGTATTTTAATTTGTTTATAAGTACTACAATTCGATATCTAAAAGACCAAGATTAACGAATTCGTCTATCAAATCGTCAGCGTCATCGGCAATGCTTTTTGCAACTTGTAACAAGTTACGATCATTTTTATTTGTTATATTATAATCGGCACCATGTTCGAGTAATAACTTTACGGTGCTTACATTCTTACATAAAACCGCTAGGAATAAAGGCGTATCACCGTCACGGTTAATCGCGTTTAAATCGACCCCCTTCTGTATCAAATCGGTAACAATGGCATCGTCGCCCAATTCGGCGGCATAATGCATGTACGAAAACCTAAAATTTCCCTCATCGAGCGACGCTCCGCGTGACAGCAGTAGTTTTATCATACCGGCGTGTTTGTCAATACACGCACGACGTAGGGGAGTTTCACGTTCGTTGTTTTCGCGATTTATGTCTAACCCTTCGTCTAAAAGAAGGTTGGTCACATCTTCGTACTCTGCCGATACGGCGTAGTGCAGGCAGGAGTTTCCAGTTTCGTAGCTAACTACGTGAAGATCCGCTCCTTTTGCAATTAAATAGTCGACAGCCTTCCTGCACTTCTCTCTCAAAGCAGCAATAATAAGCGGTTCGCTTTCGGATAATCGATAATTAATATCCATGCCCTTTGCTAGTAGCATATCGAGAACATCTGTATCATTCAGATGCACCACTAAATCTAGCCAAGTGTCATAGTTTGTACGACACCAAATATCCGCTCCATTGTCAATCAGCACCTTCACTACATTCAAGTGTTTTTCTCTAAGCGCGGCTAGGTATGCATTACCGTCATAGTGAGGCTGATCAATTTTAACCCCTTTCGATATGAAGTGACAAACTAAATCTTCATACCCAGCTTTGGCGGCGTAAAATAAACATGAGCCATTGTTGTTATCGAATGCTTCATAATCTGCCACACCTTTTTCCAGTAGCACTTTAGCATGTTGTAGTTTTTCACATTTCAGCGCCTTTAATAAGGGAGTTTCACCCGATAAATTCCTACAGTTGACATCTGCACCTCTGTCAATTAGCGTTGATAGAATTGCAACATCGCATTTGGGAATTGTGTTATGCAGACAGGAATCGTAGGCATTATCCCGAATGTGCACATTGGCACCTCTTTCCAATAGAAGTTTTGCGATATCGTTCAAGCCGGAATCGAGGGCTAGAAGAAGGGGAGTATTGCCTTGTTGGTCCTGTTCGTTGATGTCCATGCCCAGGTCTAGTAAGTCACCGATGACGTCGACGTTTTGGGAGATTGCAAAGTGCAAATTGGAACCGCATTGTTTTCTGATGTGAACATCGGCATTTTTTGCTAGCATCATCTTCGCATATGTCGTGCTGGCCTTTTCTAAGGCCATCGTGAATGGGGTAAAGCCTGTATTCGACTGCTGGTCAATATTAATACCCTTCTCTAATAAGTCGACGACATAGTCGTTGTTCTCTTCGACAACTTTTAATAAACAGTTTTCTCCGAAGCGGTTCACTTGATGGACGTTGGCGCCAGAAGACACCAACAACTTTATGATATTCACGTAACCTTTGCTTATAGCCAGATCTAAGCAGTCGTCGCCTTGCGCATTTTTCTTGTGTATATCCAGTCCAGCTTCCATCAGATACTTTACAAGTTCTTCTGCGCCCACCTTAACAGCGTAGTGAATAGAACTATTACCCCCAGCATCTTCAATATGTATATCGGCACCGTAGGCGATTAGCAACTGTGCAGAATGCGTGTAAGCTTCTTCCAGAGCGTACAATAACGGCGTAAGCCCGTCAGCGTTCTTCAAATTAAGGGCACAACGTTCTACAAAGAGAAACAGTACCTCTTCGGAGCAACGCACGGCGTAATGCAAACAGGAATTTCCCGTCTTATTGACGATATTTGGATCGGCTCCATATTCCAGTAACAACGTTATCATGTTTACGTTTCCATTCTCCACCGCTGCCATCAGAATAGTGTTACCGTTCGAGTTAATCTCGTTCACGTTTCTGTCCTTTGCTAGGATTTGCCGCACTAGATTTTCGCACCCATTTTTGACGGCGACAAAAAGCATGGTTTCTCCAGTTTCATTTTCGGAGGTGCAGTCGCTGTAGTCGATCAATATTTCGGTCAAGGCGAAACATTTCCAATCCATCGAGGTAAATATGGCGGAGGTAATGGCTTTCGTGCTCTTGAGGATGTCAGTCTTATCAAGCAATGCTTTCAATGTACGTTTGCAATTATTTTCTATGGCGCAGTATAAAGGCGTTCTACCGTAGGTGGTCGGCGAAGTGGGGTCAGCACCGTGAGATAGCAATAACTGAACTGTTGAGAAATTTTGGTATTGCACAGCGAAAAGTAATGGAGTTGCGCCGTCTTGTTGCTTAATGTTAACGTCACAACCTTCCTGCAACATTTTCGACACCATTTCATTCCAACCGAACTGGGCAAAGTAATGCAAACAACTGTCCGATGTGTGTTCGTGACAATCTGCTCCTTCGGCCAACAGGAGTTTAGCAGTGTTCAATTTCTCCCTCTTTAACGCCAACAGTAAGGGAGTTTCACCGTTAGAATTCAACTCGTTAATATCATAACCGTTATGTAAAAGGGCAGATACAATTTTGTTGTCCCCAAATTCGGCGGCACAGTGTAAGTACTGGCGGTCTGTGCGTCCTTGCGATATAATCTTTGCGAATATCAATTTTACGACGTTCACCTGAGAACTATCCATGGCTAAGCGTAATGGAGTAAAACGATCGTGGTTTTCATGATGGATATCGGCACCGCTCGCTATCAGCTCAGCAACGAGTTCCTCCCAACCATTCTCGGCTGCCACTCCCAGAAAGGAGGTGAGATTGCCATTGAACGTGTCGATAGGTGCTCCTTTCGACATCAGCAGTTTGACTGTAGTAAAATTTTTTCTGGAAGCCGCCGCAAATAGCGCCGTATCGTGGTATTCAGAATTTTTGTTAATATCAAAACCTTCGTCTAGTATTAACGAGACAATGTCATCCATTTCGTACTGGGCTGCATGGTGGAGAGGGTAGCCATTCCATTCGTCCCCCAGGTGAACATTGGCCCCTTTAGATAGCAGTAATTTCGCCGCTTCTCTTTTTTGGTTTGATATCGTATATTTCAAAGCGGTGTTGGAACCATCTAAATAGTCTATTTGGGCTCCTTTGTCTAACAGTAAGTTGATAACGTCAAGATATTGCGATTCCGCAGCAGAAGTAAGAGAAGACCATCCCCATTCGGTTGTCAAATTGGCATCCGCGCCATGTTGTATTAGAGTTATCGCAACCTGCCTGTGGTTGTTGGTAAGCGCTTGCAATAGAGGAGTTGAACCAGATTTACTCAATTGATTTACGTCACCGCCGCGTTGCAGTATTTGTGACACCAGCTCATTAGAGCCATAGGTACAGGCAGCATGCAAGCATGATCCGTGATCGTCGCTTGATGGTAAGTCAGTGCTCGCATTATGGTCAAGTAGCAATTGAGCAATGTGAAAACGATTGGATGTTACCGCGAGAAGTAGAGGTGAATCGCCTGCTACACTAACGGCGTCGATTTCACAGCCTTTCGAGAGAAGTTGACGGACAATTCTGGCATCACCAAGTTCGGCGGCGAGGTGCAGACAAGTGAGTCCCGAATCATTCGGGGTTTTTACATCAATGTCCGACGACAGGAGGTAATCGACAATTCCGATCTGAGACTGTTTCAATGCAAGCATAAGTAGGGTATTTCCATCTCGTTTATTTACATCAAAAAGATTTTTAAAAATGTGGATTTCTCCATTTTTTACTGCGGAAAATAGAGCCGTGGGATCATCATCCGTAACAGTATTAGTGGACAATATGGAAAGTATATTGCCGTGTCCTAAGCGGCGAGCTCGCGAAATCGGGGTGTCTCCATGGTTATTTATAGCGTTAACGTTGGCACCATTTTTAAGCAAGAGTGTAATTAGATCATCATCAACGCCCACCATAATGGCACTATGTAAACAGGTATTATCGTTGCGATCTGTAATGTTAGGATCCGCTCCCTTGGATAGGAGCAGTTGATTTATGCTGCCAGTACGCCCCCTTTTGATCGCGAAATGTAACGGCGTATCCCCCTCGTTATTTTGCAAGTTAATATTAGCGGATGTGCCGAATAGCATTTCTACAATTTCATCGTAGCCCTTCTCCGCGGCTAAATGTAATAGTGAGTTTCCGGTTTCATTGTCAATTACAGTGGTATCGCCTCCATTATCAAGGAGTATCTTTGTAGTGCTACGTTTCACGTACCAATGTTTAAGGAGGACTAAGAGGGGGGTTTCTCCGTTGTGGTTTTTCTTATTGACATCCGCACCTTTGTCAATCAATTCAAGTAGCAAGCCATCTTGTGCATACTGAGCTGCGTAATGGATAGCTGAAAGTCCCCATTTATTTTCCGCAAAAATATCAGCGCCATTCGCAGTTAGGATCTTAATGACAACTTCACATTGCCTTTCTATCGCGACCATAAGAGGCGTTGTGCCATTATTGTCTCCTTTATTAACATCAAGACCTAGTCTAAGGAGATCCTCTACTAAAGTCGGCAATGTCACAGCGAGATGCAAACATGAGAGTCCATTCGAATTCACCACATTAACGTCGGCACCATTTTTTATTAAAAGCCCGACAATACCAATTGCTGCGTTGTTAATGGCCGTAATCAGTGGTGTGTCTCCGTCGCCATTGGCATGATTAACTAAACAACCATTTGCTATCAAACTTGTTACCACACTTCTCAGAGAGTAGTTTGACGCGTGATGTAAACCATTGCATCCGCTGTGATCTGTAATATTGGGATTTGCACCTCTGTTTAATAGCAGCAACACCGTATTTAAATGTTGCGACACTAGCGCCAATTTCAATGGTGTTTCGCCTTCATTATTTTGTTTATCAATATCGGAAGATTTGTCCAACAGGTTTACGACCACGTTGTTTAGGCCGCATTGGGCCGCATAATGCAAGCAGGACATGCCCAACTTATCCGAATCATTCACTCTAGCTCCCCTAGAAAGCAGCAACGTTGCTATTCTTACGCGTTCAGATTTCAAAGCTAAAAGAAGAGGTGTTTCGCCATCGCTGTTGGTTTGGTTTACATTAACGCGATAGTGTATCAATTCCAAGGTGGTTTTGTAATCATCCGTTTTCGCAGCGTAGTGCAGACAAGAGTTACCGGATTTATTTACAACGTGGACATCGGCATGATATTCCAGTAGCTCTCTGACGATATTGGTACAGTTGTACTGGAGCGCCAACAGTAAGGGGGTGTCTCCGTTTTTATTTGGTATATTTACGTCGAGGCATCGGTCCCGAGATATACTGGTCTGAGGCGAGAAAAACAGCGAGTAGTATTTGTCAGGCAGGAATAGTTCGGCGCTCTGCTCACAGTGGTGCTTTAACGCGTGGTGAAAGGGAGTGTCGCCTTCCTTGTTTTGTATGCTAATATCTGCGCCTTTCGATATCAGTTTCCTTACGAGAGGCGTACCAAAATTTTGGCAGGCTATATGTAGTGCAGTATTGCCAAGAGCGTCGGTTATATTTATTTTAGCCCTAGCCGCTAGAAGCGTGTCAACATTATCCATGCGTTTATTCATTACAGCTGCATGGAGAGGAGTATAGGAACCGTTACCCAAATTGTTGATCATGGCGCCATCTTTCAACAGGTCCAGGATATTTTGCTTGTTACCAAAGGCAGCAGCCAGCTGTAGATGTGCGAAGAACTTGGCGCCCACTTTTTTTAATTCGAGTTTCTCCATTAGGTGACTTAGGGTCCTCACGTCGTAGCTCGAGAGGTAGTGTTCGAAATTCTGTTCCGTAACTTCATTAAGGTTCAAGTGATGTACCACCACATCAAACCTATTGTTTTCTCTCAATTGTTCGACAGTCACCCGGACGCAAATGATGTATTTAAGTAGGGTTTTGAATAAGTGTTTGTAATCAGTAACGTGACCACAGTAATTGATATAATTCCCCAGTTCAGCTAGATCTATATATGCATTGTTCGTCAAATGTGGCGCCTTCTCGCAGATTGCATTTGCAACAGCTAAACAACTACTGTTAATTGCATACTCGAGTGGAGAATATTCTAACAGCGTGTCGGTGGCCTTGAGCGCCTTCGTATCTGCTAACCTTACGATACTCACAAAATTGTCCTCAATATTAATATTACGAATTATGTCAGTTTTTGGGTGGGGGACTCCATACAATGCAGCAATGTGCACGATGTTGCGGCCTCCTCCATCAGTTTCATTAAATTGAAAAGTCGGGGATGAGATTACCTCGTCAATTTTACCTTGGATCAATGCGGTATGTAGTGGAAAATTCTTCGCCAACATTAGATCAAACATTCGAAATATGTTGGCATACTTTTCCATGTAGCGAGATCGTTTCTGATTGAAGACTTTTACCAAATTACTGTGAACGTTTTCGGCCATCCACTTTGCGATCACGTAATGTACGAAGATGGGGTAAGGAAAATCGCTTTCTGTTGCCACAAGCTCCTGTAGAATGTGGACCTTCACATAATCGAAGCCGTGCAAGTCGCTCTCGTCAAACACGCTTTGAAATGCTAAGCCAAACAGGTGGGGAAGAATCTTAGTTTTGCAATATCCGTGTTTGTCAACGAGATATGTAAGATACCATGCCAAAAATTCGTCAAAAAAATTAAGCAAAACAAATTCCTCTTCGATTCGCAATCCGCCAGTCACACAAAAGTGTTTAAACCTCTCAGTGTAAATGTCAGCAATAAACTTTAGGTACAAAGGGGAATCGAGAAATGCGTCAATTTTTGTTCTAACAACCCTTAGTAGAGTATTTACAAAATCATTGGTAGCTACATTACGGTTACAAAATTGGCTAAAATACTTGGTTAAAAAATCATGCTGATTTTGGGCACTGAATGGTTTTGTGACCGTCGCAATGGTACCAAGACGTTCTGTAAGCTGCACAGCATTATTGGGACGTACCGGTAACCATGTGTTCAAATTGTTTCTTTGCAGGAATTCAAGGAATTCGACAACCTCATTAAAATGCGTGTGAGCTATTGCATCATACCGGTCCAGAAGTAAATGAATTTTTTTCGAATCGACAAATTGTTTAAAAATCTTCTGTGCCAGTTCTGATTTAACCTCTTGCTTGAATAACTGGTATACGTGGTCTAATGTAGGTTTGTGATTGAAAATGTACTGTTGTAAGTCGACGGTGATCACCCACTCCTCAGGTACACTCAGCGCAATATAATCCAGCAAAGTGGATTTTCCCATTGATGAATCTATGATGATGTGTACACTATGCTTGTTGCCGACTAAATGACGAAAATCACACGTCAAATTGTATTCTTGTGATGCTTCAAACTGGCGTAACTTTTCCACACAACCCCAAGAGCCGGTCCACTCCAACCAATTCTCCCCATGCGACACTACAAAGTGTACCGAACGATTTTCACTTCGCGCCTTCTCGATCATACCATGCTCATCTGTGTCAACAATCACATTGGGCAAACATTTTAAAGTTCTTAACGGCAGATTAACGGAACCCCCTTCATTTTTCACAACGAACAGTTCATTCCTCAAGTCGTTAACGACATCCAGTCGAAGAATGATTTTCAAAAATGACCTTTCGATAAAATAAGGAGGTAGCTCCTTATAATAATAGTCCATAACAAAATTGTTCGTAATTAAACTAATAATATCACTAGCATGCAACGATCTCAACAATGCGGGATCCACCAAATCTCCCAAATTGGCCAAAAACTTCCCTTGCAAGCTGACTTTACACCCCAACAACTGCCTTACATGGTCATAATCCAAGTGGAACACAGTGTCACAATGATCAGCCACTGTTAACACAGTAACCCTTATATTACCAGAAGCAGCCTCTACAATACTAACAATACTGTTCACATCATCCGATGTTCTTGCCAAAGTTAACAAGGAAATTTGTCCAGTGAACCACAACTTCTTGTAAGCCAACTCGGATGCATCACCGAAGTTGGCAATGACACCAATAGTGTGTGCTTTTAAAAATGTGTCACTTACAAAATTGGAATTGACAAAAACAAATGATTCACCACAAGTGACAGAATTCCAAAAATCGTTACACTTCCAACTGTCAATATCAAACGCTAAATCTACTTTGTACTTGCATATAAATAACTCTAACAAAGCGCATTTCGCCTCTTCCTTGGTAAAATTCTCACTTTCTTTAACATAAGCGTAAAATCGGTCTAAAATATACTGGGAATGAAACGACCCAAGATTGTAGTGACTAGCAAATACCTGTAAAGCTCGACTATTACTTAAACGTAAATTTGAAGGCACTTGATCAATAAAAACGCAGCCTTCTCCACCCGTAACAACACTGCGCAAATTTGTGAAATTTAGGAAGTTAAATTTGTCATCGTGCAGCTCGGTTAAATTGAGATTGTCCGTTGCGCAATTTGTGTAAATAAAATAATTAGCGTTCCGGCTTACACATTCTGAACAGCTACTCAAAAACAAACCTCCCTCGTCGAAATCTCGCTGGCTAAACTTTCGAGTTGCAGGAAGGTGATGAAGGCAAATTACACAGGTTTCCTGATCGTCATCCAGAATTAGATGAACATTGTTGTCATGGGAAATAAGCTTGAAGTCTAGTTGATCTTGTGGGAGACATCGCAGCAGTAAAAGCTCGAGGAATTGGTACTTATCCATTTGCTGCCGTACCTATTCATTAAGGTTATTAAATGGCATAGGGAATTCAGGAGGCTTACCTCTGGATCGAGACTCGTGTGTTCATCCATTGTCTTGAAAGTAACCCACTGAAGTGGCCTTTGTCAATTGTAGAAGATGCAGATGTACGAAATGAGCAGTTTATAGGAAAGGAATGCACGCTGAACCTAATTATTTCACATCTTAGCACTCACGTTGAAAAATTATGTGCACAGACAGCAACGATTGAACCTTTTTGAGTTACTCTTGCACACTTATACGTTCCACAACTAGAAGTAATATTGCACAATATTTCCAAAATTTTAAAGAAGAGTGGGAAACTTGGTACTTAGGATGACGAATTTGGAAGTGGCAAACAGCACCTTGGAATTCAGTGTGGCCAACCGAGGAATACGGACAGGTTCCACCTGTCATTGATTATACAGTGTGTATAATTAAGGCTCATCTGTAGTCAATCCGCCATATTGGAAAAACAGCTAAACTTTCTTATGAAATGCTGCTTTTGTAGTTGAAGTCTAACAAATTCTCGATAGTGGATTGCAATGATGAAAAGAACGGCGGTACTTAAAAAAGTTGAAATATTGGTCTTAGTTTTTTAGGAAGATCGATGAATAGAAAAATCGTTTTTTGTAAATAACAGCCGTTGTAATGAGGGTAGAAAAACGTACAGCACCAATTTGGAAATCCGACAGTATTTCTTACGGCGGTACTTAAAGATATTATTTCCATCTATTATGATAAGGCATTTATTTTAAAAAATGAGTTACGCGATTTTCAGAAAAGAGCGCAACGTTAACATAAAGGTAGGCAACTCAAATTGCACTTAAAACCCCTAAGGCGATATCTCATTACTTGCAAGGGAAAACAAGAGAAACTACCTACCTGGCATTATCCTGGCACATTGTTACCTCGTTCCTAATGACATGGATTATATAATTAACTAATGTTTATTTTTTTTTATAGAAATACTTTATTTCTAAAACATTTTTCATTCTATCTAGATTCTTCAAGAAATTTGTTTAGGAAGGTATCAAATAGTAGCCCCATTTTTTTAGCTCAACCCAAGCGAAATACGACCACTTATGTGTTTTACATACATATTGAGACGATTATACCAATAATTTGGTGGCTTCTTGTCGCAATTCAGGTGTGATGTAAAAATGTGACTCCTTTTTGTTTTTTTAACATTTTGTACCACGAAACTGCTTATCTACGCGCACAAAAACATTAAGAGTCTTCTTTACCTAAGCGCAACTTTTTTACATTATAGTGTATAGATGATTATAGCTGCAAGAGATATTCTTGCTTTGTCAACTCTTGTCTTGGTCCTTAGTTAGTTCCCACCGACACTGTGCAGCGGCGCCACTTGTTACACTCAAATTGTTGATTTAACGCCCGCCAAGATACAGACTTTATTTACAAAAATTATGATTTCATTTTTTGGGGTCATGTTTAGAAGTAACTTATCTAAAAAACTGTCGGTTTACTTTTTCCATAAATCGTCTTGATCGAGAGTAAAAAAATAAAACAGATCAGCGCAATAGTCGGTGCGAAACATCTAATCTTTAAACAATCTGTATTCAGTTGCTATAAACTTTAAAAAAAAAATAGTCCGAACATTTTGTAGATAAAGGTCTAAATTTATACAATAGTTCTTAAAAAAAATTGTTTTTGTAAAAACAAATAGAGTTTTTATGGCGGGCCCTCTTATGGAAATTTACATTGGGTGCAGTGGGTACAGAAGACTCTTAAAAAAGTGTGGTAGGGCGGGACAAACGTATGACCTCAACATAAGGAGAAAGCACAATACCGCAATTCCTATGTAGTATCCTAACAAAATACTTCAGAAGTCTCAATCAGCATCAATTCAAAAGTAAAGTTTGTCAAGTTAGCGAGACACCACCAAAATGAATATCCGTATCAAAAAAAAAGCGGCATAATTCGTTGGTTTTCCCGGTAATTAGTGGCAGATATAAAAAAGTCTCGCACTTTTAACAAATTTCGGACTATTTACTTTTTCCGTTTGAGTACCTATGCCTTTTGATAGAGTCCCGCAATCTTCACATCAACTTTGCTGCGATTTTTTTAAATTTCCATTACTACGTGGCAACAGAAAACGGTATGTTCTATACTGTGTAATTGTTTGCGTTTTGCCCGTTCGCCCGGGCCCACTTTTTTTGAACTACTTTTAGGGGAATGGTAATATATAATAGTAGTTTTTGGAATAAGTAGCCTATACCTTGGAGGTCCGCCAGACGGCCATCACGTTTAGTTGTTTTAAGGCCCCCCTCTTTTTTACCCTTATCAAAATAGGGAGTTCGGGGAAGAGAGGGACTAGTTTTATCCATACTCTAATGAAAGGTCTCAACAAAAGGAATCCATTTCTACCTCTTCGACGCCTCATCGTGATCGGTTATAATTTTTATCTCTATAGCGAATTGCCGGAGGAGGTACTCACAAAGGGCGATTGGGACGTCTGGAACAAATATATCAACACGATAAGAGCGAATACAGTTTGTCGGAGGAGAGGCAGAATGAATCTATTGGTGAAATTGAAGCGAATATCTTGACAACGAAGAGCCTTATAACCCGCCATTTATAATTGTTTCAATATGATCTGATATCAACAAGGATGAAAAGATGTATTCGTTAAAAAAAATAGAGGAATGCTCAATTTCAATTTTCACTACCGAATTATGGATTTAAAAAACCGAATTATGATACCGCACAAACGATACCAATATCGATACTTACAGACCAAAAGGTGTAAATTCGATTGCTTGATGTCCATGTGATATCTCATGCTTTTTGGTGCCGAATATGGTTCTACCCACAAAAATGGAAGATAGGTTGCAATGACAATATGTAGACATGTGTTATTGTGTTAGTTACATTTTTACCAGCAGTTTTGTCTGTTCGGAAAAAACCTTCATGGGCCGTGCATAAATAAAAAGAATACGCTAACTGTAGGTACAATTATTTTTTGAAAAGATAAGAACTTTTTTTAAATAAGTAAAAATAATCTAGTAATTATAAAAATGTCTACATCAAATTTGATCAGTAAAATTGTTAAAACAAATATCAGGAAATAATAATAAGGGGTAATTAACAATGTATTGGGAAATGTTAGCAAATATTGCCAATTTTCTCCACTAATTACCTTAGAATCAAGTAATTTACAGATTTACATTATAGACAAATGGAGTAAAAGGAACAGGTATTTGTGTAGCTTCATTCAAATATTGACTACACCTTTTCAATACACTTTTTTACATAATTAGTCCTTGATCATTATACCTAGTCTATTGTGTTTAACAATAAATGAAGAAAATATGCAAAACTGAAAAGGATAGAATTATACCGTTTTCGCACTCCACGAATATACGTAGAAATGTGTATTGTTGGTGGTCTAACCAATTGCAATAACATTGAAATGCAAATTGACTTGACTTGATAGTGTATAAAGTATTTAAGTAACCTTCAACGATAAACACTTTTTCGGAAGCTGGTTGTGATGTTTCGATTTTACATGGGCTTGGAGATGGTTATTTATTATTATTATTATATTATAGATTATACCTAGTTCCTCACACTGTCTTCAATTTAAACACAATGACATTCATTGAATGCACCCATTTCTTTTTAGATTCTAACCACAAAATCGCAAAAACTAACCCTATCCCAAAAGCAAAAATTTAAAATTTAAACATTCGTTAAACCTGGGCAAAATCAAAACACGAATTTTTAATTTAAGGTACAAAAACCTTGGACATTCACAAATGGGGTGATTCTTTGACACACTAACACCATTTTTTTTTGTTGACGTTGTGTGTTTACAAAGTTCACAATGCCCAACACTGATACTTTATTATCGGAAAAATGCGGCGCCTTGGGAAGGACGATAATTTATCAAAAGAATTCAGGTAAGGCGTCTTGTGCAGATCTGATAATTACACCGCTTTTCAGTTACCAACAAAGTAATTAGGTTGAATACGTCCAATTCGTTAGCCACATCTGTTGTCGATAGAGTTAAGGACCTAGCTCGAGACGTCTTTCTTCCTCACGGTTATCCCGATAGTGTCAGCGGCGACTACTTGGAATACCAAGTGTGGGATACAATTCAGGCATTTTGCAGTACAATTACAGGAACATTTACAACTCAAGCGATTCTAAAGAGTGTCGGAGTGGGCGATGCGGAAGCGACTCCATTTGCAGCCGCATTAACGTGGGTTATGAAAGATGGTACTGGAATGCTGGGTCGGATTGTATTCGCATGGTGGAAAGGGTAAGGCAGCTTATTACAAATATCAACTTTCGCATAACCTGCAATTTTACTTTAGAAACAGTCTAGATGCTGATTGTAAAAAGTGGAGGCTATGCGCAGACATTTTAAATGATGGCGCTATGTTCTTAGAACTATTAGCTCCATATGTCGGTCACTTTTCTCTTCAGATTTTGTGTGTTACGACCTCGATGAAGGCTGTTGTAAGTCTTAGGGGGGTTAGAGAAAGCGTAGGTTTATCTTTTCAATGCAGGTTGGTGTTGCTGGAGGTGCAACAAGGGCGTCAATAACGCAACATCAAGCAATTCAAGGTAACATGGCTGATGTGTCTGCGAAGGATGGCAGTCAGGAGACATGTGTTAACCTGATTGCAAGCATTGTAGGCATTTTCCTACTTGCAGTCGTTACTGACTGGCGGTAAGTTAAACAGAAGTAATGATGGTACTAGACTAGAGAGGCAACACTTGCATAATTTTGATTTCCAAGAATGGGTTGACTCCACCCACAGGAAAATGTGTTTTGTCAATTTATTTGTAATGGAAATGAATTTGTTTTATGACATCAAAAACTATTGATCTATCTAATGTAGTACAATCACTGACGGAGCTCACGTCTTGTATACCGAGTTTTCAGATGGGAGTGGATTGTGTTCTTTCTGTTTGTCGGAGTTCACCTGGTGGCGAATTATTTCGCAGTATGCTCGCTTAATTTGCCACATTTAAACACAGCTCGTTTAAATCACGTCTTAAACACATACTTGCATTATGACACAGTGCCACAACCTACAATAGTCAACAAGAATGAGTCTGTCATCATCGGTTTCGGACCAGCCAGTAAGTCACACTGCTACTTGGTAAACTCTCATTTTAAACAGTTTCAGATTTATGTGGATTTAAAATAAAATTAGGGCAATCTGTTAAGAGATTGCCTGCGACTGTAACAGCTTTTGAATTGTCTTTCTTAGTAGATATGTATAAGAACTCAAAGTATTTAGTTGTACCTGATGTTAAAAGCCGAATTATGTATGTTATTTTAGAAAAAGGCGAAAGTGTAGAGGATGCTATTGGTGCATACTTTCACACGGTCCTTTTAGGGATTGCCACTTGTTATTATAACCAGGAGAACTCTGTAAAGTTACAACCAGTAGAGATACTCTTATTTTACTCTCGCTTTTAGAATGTCTATGCCAATAGGCATTTGAACCATACGACGTCCGTGACTCGACTCCACACTGCCTTAAAATCGCACCAAAAAATTGTCGTTCATAAGAATGAGAAGCTTCCAATAGATGCCTTGAAAACATTTTTCACTTTTGCACAACAGGAAGTGGCCATGTTCTTTGTGGCACTTCGAACAAATGGTAAGATTTTACGTGAGTAATTGAATTTTATTATTGCCCATTTCTAGGTTGGAATTTAAATACTCATTCTATTGAAATTGGAGGATGGAGAGGACAGTGGAAGGATTTACTAACACGGTCGCCTGTACACCATCCACCCTTTGGTCGGCAAAAAACTGAATAATACAAATTTATGAGCACTTGTTATCGGTTGAAGGGAGATTTGATAAATATTGTTGATTTTTAATAAGAATTGTATATTGTTTATATTTGTTCTTTAAGATATAATTATTTTTTTCACATTTCAAAGTTGGCGTATTCTTACCAACAGACCGATGGATCCCTAAACTTTGTTATCCCGTTGTTACTTGTTATGTTTAGCAAGGTGTTATCTCAATAAGTTAATTGGCAACAAATGTCTCATTATGCTGTGATGAACAGAAGAGCTGTTAGGCAAAGAGATGTGGAAGCACCAAGGCGCAAGGCACCATTGGATACAGTGTGCAATAGTGTCTAAATATGATGGTGAGACCTATCCAGAAACATATGCGTTGATCAAAAAGTGTAATTTGTTCCTAACTATATAAACAAATATCGCATGCAGGTGACAAAAGAAAAAGTTGTAGTTTTGTTTATGCATTTGATGGCAAACTTCCCATTGATCCGCCACTGGTGAGTGCGTTACTGCAACCACAGTCATTGTACTGCAACAGTGTTGTCACGGTTTCTAACCCTTTTGTTTTCTTAGGTTAGGACTGTCCGAATTACACAATTTGTAAACAATTAAGGACTTAATACAAATGAATCCCGAAGAAGTAGAATTTCTCGGAGAAAAGCAACTAATTAGCATAATCCCAACCTTTAATAGTAGCACGATACATTTAGTGTCTGGAGACATCGGACCCTTTCGTGCAAGTCTTCCAGTTAATGTCCCTTTATGGGTAGCAGTCAATTTGAAGCAGCAACGTAAATGCAAAATTCAGCCGCCAGACTGGATGGATGTCGAGCAATTAGAATTGTTAAAAGAAGCCGAAAAGGCTTCCAGGTACAGTTTACTTTTGTCGAGGGGATTCTTGAATAAATTTGTAGAAACTTTGTCAAAATGCCGAGTGAACACTACATGATTGAGGGTAAATTGTTGCTCAGCATAGCCACGGATGATATCGCACGTGCTGATGAAGTTCGAACAATAATAAAAGATATTTGGGATATACGCATGGCTAAGCTAAGATCGTCTGTTAACACATTGATAACTGGAAAATCATATGGTAATGTAGATAATCTAACGATAATGGAAATTAATAGTATGCGTCCCCTTATACCACATGCAATGGATCAAATACATCGCATGAAAATGGTTAGTAGTGGTGTCGTTATTAAGTTAAAAGTTACCCTCTATGTTTCAGGAACGACCACGCTTTAGCACTCCATCTCAAAGTACCTCATTAGGTTTATTAAACTCATCAACTGTAATTTCAACATTTAAATAATATTGTAATTTAAATAATAAATGTTCTATTTAATTTGACATGTGTATTCCCTCCAAATAAAAAATGCAACAGTGTGTGGTTAACGTCAAATAAAAGTAAGGTTAAGTCACGCCGTCTTGTCTGAATTTTCAAAAGTAAACCAAAAAAATACGTAATGCTCGTCCCGTAATTATGAGCGAATTGGAATTTCAGGATGAGGAACGAGAAGCTTTGTTATCAATTTACGAAGGCGACACTGCCTTCAAGCAAGTTTCCAACACCGTCTTTCAGTATAAGGTGAGACCTTGCCGTACTTCAATAGTTAATTAATTCCTTTTCAGTATGGAGAACCCGATAGTCCACGATCATTGCTGTTAGAAATAATATGGGGCGAAAATTACCCAACCGAAAAACCCGATGTAAATATGGACACATTCTACAATCGTCACATGTAATAGTTGAATAGAAAGTTGCGTTCAATAAATTGTATGCTTTTAGAAATGCTTCTTTAAAGCAGAGAGTAAAAGACATGGTATTGGGGGAAGCCGAACAATACTTAGGGATGTCAATGACGTATTCTCTCTTCGAGTATGTCAAGGAAAAATTCGATGACTTTGTAAAGGAATTGGCTAATGCAGAAATTGTGACCGACAAAGTTGAGGAATTGACAATCGGTGATCAAGTGGACGACAATAAGAAAAAATGTTTAAAGAAGGAGCAATTGACAAAGGCACAAAAAAGGAGACAGTGGGATAAGGTTGGAGATAAGGGAGAAAGACCTCGTGGTTGGGATTGGGTCGATATTGTTAAACACCTATCGCAAACTGGTAGCAAGGAGGACCAAGTCTCGGCGTCTACATCATAAATTGTTACCTTTATAAGTCACGTTATACGATTAGTAACTTTTAATAACGAATTATTTATAAATGATTTTTACGAATGTGTTATTTACATTAACCTTTCTACATTCTACATGCTGTAGATAGTAAAGCTAGAACTAAATAGCCAGATCATCAAAAATTATGCAAAAAAAAAAAAATGATTTCCAAAGTAGGAGTACAACTTTTCATATAGAGGTCTAATCTTAACAAATTTTGGTCTTTTGGATTTCTACATCTCAAAATTCTTTACTCTGTTCAAAAAATCATCAAAGTTGTAAAACTCTGGGAGTCACCTTGTGGCAGGAATGTTCATGATTCATGCCAAATAAAGAAATCGTCAAATAACATTTGTATTTGAAATTTTAATTAGTTATTATCTATTTAATAGGTATAAACGTCCAAAAACAATTTCCAATTTTACATTTTAAATAAAATAAATTTTTAGATGTAGGTATTTTACCCACCCCTGGCAATTGGGGCTTAAATAACCAAGATGATTGATATGACTAAATGATGAACAGGATGATGCTAGAAACTATTAGTCACAGTCACCTGTAAAAAAACCTTTATACGTGATTTTTTTTATCTAAAACGCCATTCCCTTTTAAAGAATTCCAATTCATAGTCAAAATCTCCTGAAGGCTATTCGGAACTGTAATCAGTAAAACTACTTTGAAATCATCCTATGAGTAATGTAACATATAATAACACCAAAGGCAATGTCAAGTGAAGCTCAAGACTAAACTTTACATTCAAAAGTTATATAGGTACTTTCTCATATCAGTCGATAACTACAGGTCTTTCGAACAGCAGAGAGGTCCAGTGTGTGGGTTATAAGTACTGCTGCCCGTTCGTTCATAAGACCTTTTTTTCTTAAATAAGTTAGCTCAACAATGTATATGTTTATTAATGAACAAATAACAGTAAATACAACTAAGGCTGCCCATAAAGTTGATGGTAATCAGTTTCGTTTTTCGGTTTATGGTTAGCAAAATAATCTCTAACAAACTGCTTTTCTGGACAGCCTAACCATAGCTGAGGCATCGGCAGAGGAGATGTTTCCGTGACGCTTATCCATGTATCATCAAACGTCCAATAAAGCTTCCCCTTGAAAAAGTACGTCTTTCCTGGAATTTGAACATTATAAAGTGCATTAGTTAGCGTAGAGAGCTCAACTACCATCATTCCATGACATTGCTGCGTCCAGATTTTCGGGAACACCACGCCATCTTTGTATATGCATCGGATAACCGGCATCTACAGTTCGTGTATCTTCATTATATCTCCACATCCTGTCATTTTTGAACAAATAAGTTTTTCCTGAAATAATCCTGATTATAAAATCCAAGCGCTCGGCACGCAAGTACCATTCTTAGGCCAGCTAATAACAGCATCAATTCGATCCAAATCGTCCGGGAGACCGTACTTTGATAAGCTTTGAGGGCTGTCTTCAACAAACACGTGACCGTCATAAACCCAAAATTGACTGCCTGTAAATTTCTGGTTTGCTTTGTTCTACGAGAGAAAAACCACATACCTGAAAATAGCACGATCATGCTGTCTGGTCTTTCGTATACCGCGTCGATCTTTCGTATCGATTCTGGAAGAGGGAACATCTGCTGTATGCGGGCGGGATATCCCTGCTCTAATTGGTTCTTATCCCTCAAACGCCAGAAGTATTCCCCTTTAAAAACAAAGAGCTGTTCGCGTATCGCAGAAATGGCGTCAATATTTCCTTCGCATACATCCGGAATTGAAGGCTCTGCACCTGGTGTAACGTCTTCGTCTGGTAGATGTTCTTCATCTTCATCAAGATCTTCCTCTTTCACAACATCGTCTGTCAAACCTTCATCTTTGTCATCTTCATTAGATTCGTAGCCGGTTTCCGGTTGTTCGGGTTCCTCAGTTTCAGGTATATTAGGTATTTCGTTGTCATCTTCATTGTAGCTGCCGTCTTCCTTATCGGTATCTACTTGGTCGGTTTCCTCAACACTATTTTCATCTTCATCGTAGTCGTACGCTGGAGGAGTCCGTGCTGTGGTTGTTCTTGGTGGAGACGGTGGAGGAAAATGCACGGGTCCGGATTCCGGCATTCCTTGAACTACGTGATTGATAGTTTCCAATTACAATTCGAGTACTACTTACTGTACAGAGCGTACATTCCCAAAATATCGTCGTAGTCTAAATCATTCGCGTAACCTTGATAGTAGGGGAACATTATCGATGAGACTACAGGGGAATGGGAGAGGCCAAGCGAGTGCCCCAACTCGTGGAAGGCAACGGTGAAGAAATCAGTACCTTGGGTTGATTCCTTGGTGTGGATGCTCCATTCTTCTTCTTCATCAAAATGTATGTCACCTCCTCTCCCGTGGAAATCCGAGGGGAAGAACGCGTGAGCCAGTACCTCTCCAGGTCCGTCGAAAGCAAAGCTGAAGATACACGCTAATGTTAAGATTATAATAACCGAAGAATGATTTACTTATCGCCATGAGGACCGCGAGCAAACATGACAATGATGTCGGCATTGAAATCGTAGACACGAGTAAATGTTAGCCTTCCGTACTTGCCCCAAGTGTCCAGAGCTTGTTGGATATTTTGCGCTATCACTTCTTCACCAAGCTTCGGTGTCCAATTGTACAAACTGCAACAAATCATTAGCATTATGTTTTCAGGCTGTGCCATTACGTACTAGTAAGTAATATGGCGTTTCTTCCAACCCTTGGATCCGAGCACATATCTCTTGCTCCTAGAATTTCTTATAATATCGGGCACTCCGCATCTTCGCGCCTTCATTAGCTGTTATCAAAGAAGACAGATTCAAAATCCAAGGACGGCCTTTGCAGTAGGTACTCACCGCCAAAGTTGCGTTATCAACAACACCAGTTTGTGGTATCCCGCCAAACTTTTGCATAGTCTTGATAACATCGCGTATTGCATCTTCAGTATAGAGAGCTTCGGAATTTGGTGTGTCATCCAAATATCCATACCGTTTCATGAAATCAAACTAAAAATTTCGATAAAAATTTGTAGGACAAAGAGGGTGTTACCGTTTCACTCGTTGGTAAAGTTGAGGCTATTGGTGAAACCGATGGGACTGGATGGCATAGCGCAACTTTTAACAATATTAAAGAACAAAAAAAGCACTTCATTTTTATGCAATTATTGTAATTATAATAAGGATGGTAATGCAATGTGATAACGCAACGATAGATAAGTTGCCCCGATAGAAAATAAGCTGTCGGTTACATTGAACTTAAGGCCGTCATCGCGGGCAATGGAATTACTAATTGTGACAATAGTTTGTTGACTGATGGTATTTCATAGATTTATTTATTTATACCCGCGCGACAATTAAGAAAGTGCGCGTGAATCACTTGCGGTTGCCAAAGCTAATTCGTTAGTTTTCCGATACGCAACATCACTTCCTCAACAAAATTTGGCAAAACTTCCACTTTTATCAATGAGATTCATTCGGAGATATGTTTTACGAGTTGTTTTCCTCCGTAAAGACGCCAATATCCAGATTACGCAAATCAGCATAGTGATTTGTCATGGGAATGAGTGTTTTTTATCAAATACACTCATTCGCATGAATTTTGCGGATACCATTATTGTATAGGTCAGGGTCCGCCATCCATTCCGCTCTAATTTAAGTGATGTGTTCGTATTGATAAAAAAGTCAAAAGACCTTCGGAGTTGATGAGAACTAATTGAATTCGTCTATCTATATGTGGGTTCATGACAACTCTAGAAACGAGACGTGCTACATTTTCGATTCCTGAAATTCCGCAATTACATACAAAATTAGACAATTTATTAGGATTTTTTGAAATGATGTAGAGGTTCCTGCTGGTCTAAGGGAAAACCTTATTCAATTGGATGTTGAGCAGATGCAAGTTCCGCAAGAGACCGATGCTCTTGAAAGGTTTTTTCAGCTCTCACAGGAAACATAGGAAACTGAAAGAAACAATTTTTTACAAAAAATGCTGTACTTCCCTAGTCTAAAACGTTTCGTCTCCAAATCTGAAAAGTTTTAAATAGGAATTATTCGATATTTTTTTGTCTCTTAAAAGCTTCGGAAGGCGGCGACCGCCGTTAGTTGTCCGTTCCAGGGCCTTTTATGAACAAGGTTTTGATAAACGCCAGTTTTCATGGTTTAGATTCACACTGTATCCCAA